TTAGAGCGAAAGAGAAAAAGAGAAAGTGAGAGAGAATTAACCCATAACCAGTACTGTGAATTTCAGTATTATGAAAAATATAAATATTCCATCTGTTGCCTGGGTGACAATTAGCTCAGATATGAATTAAAATAAAACTGACCACAATTGCTGGCTCAGTTGATTTAGGGACAGCAGTTATCAAAAGCTCAATAAACACATTTGCTGTTTTACAATAAATCATTCACACATCAACAGTGGTGGAAATGCCATTTATTTACATGTAGACATGACCAGAAAACTCTGCACACGTATGACTTTAATCTGCATGATCTTCACAAGTTTTTTTTTTTCTCATAAATAATACATTTCAATCCTTTGTTGCTGATCACAGACACAATAACCATCTTAAAGTTGCTGATCAGTTCATAAAGAAATATCTCCAAGAAAGAAACGGATTGGTTAAGGATTTGTCTTTGCAAAAATGACAAACATATCAATCTGAAATGAATGTCTCGAGCTACACACACGGAGCAACCCGAGCCAAGGACGGCTCCAGCAGAGTCAGGTCTGGTTTCTCTGGGGTGTCACTTTAGAAGCAGATAGACCTTTTCGGTCAATGATGGAGAGTCCGAGCTCTGCGTTGTCCATGATCTGCAGAGGGACGACTCCAGGTGTTTCGCCCTGAGTGCAGGAACGAGTCGCACACCCCCTGCTGGTGGATGGAGTGGGGCTTCTCCGAAACAGAGCCCGCAGCATCTTCCTGATCTCCGGCCTCATCAGACAGTACAGCACCGGGTTCAAGCAGCTGTTGGCGTGCGCCAAGCACACGGTGACCGGGAACACGTACGTGTGCACCAAGTAATACGTCTTATCCCAGTTGACTGCGCTAAACTTGACCAAAACACCCCAGAAGGTGATGGCGTGGTTGGGCATCCAGCAGCAGAAGAAGGATAAAACCACTATAGCCACAGATTTGGTGACTTTGGATCTCCGAGCTCTGTTGCTGCTGTTGCCCATGCTGCGCTGTCGGACGAAGCGCAGCAGCATCAGGTAGTTAACGCTGACGATGAGCATGGGGATGATGAAGGCTATCAGTATCTTCTGGATGTGATAGAGAGCCAGCCAGTCGTATCCTTCTGGGAACCTGAGGAGGCAGAGTTTTTCTCCCGCCACCTCGGTCACAGTGGAGAAGACAGCGGTCGGCGCCGTGGCCAGGGTCGCGGCCACCCACAGCACCGCGCACACCCACTTTACGCACCGCGACCTCCTGTAGGTCTTCTTCTTCAGGGCAGTGGCCACTGACCAGTAGCGTGTGACACTCATGGCCGTGAGAAAAAACACGCTGGCGTACATGTTCATCACGGTGATGGACAGGATGATTCTGCACATGGCGTCTCCAAACGGCCAGCTGAAGTCGAGCGCGGTGTCCACAGCCCAGAAGGGCAGAGTGAGCACGAACTGGAAGTCTGTCACTGCCAGGTTGATGATGAAGACGTTGATGGTGGACCTCTTCCGACCTTGGCGTAACCTCATGAGGAAAAAGACCAGCAGGTTACCCACCAAGCCCATTGCGCACACCACAGAGTACACCACCGATATAAGTATCCTGAGGATAGGCGTGCCATCTGCGCTCACGTCGATGTCTTCGAACTTAAATCTGTCATCTCCACCGTAACTCGAGTTCTGCGCTCCGCTGTAGTTGTACATGTCATCCATGGTGGAAAGTTAAGGACCTCGGTTCAGCGCAGATTTCTTCTTCTTCTTCGCAATTATGCTCAACAAACCATCAGGCAAGTCTCTTGTGCGTAAAAGTGTCATCTTCTAACACCTGTCACATCTGTGGCTTTACATGTTTATCACCTTCCCTCTGAATGGCAGCTGACCTGCGGTCTGCTTTTATGCAGGTGCTGTTGGCTCTGCTGAGCCACGATTGGTCCAACGAGTCATTACGGAGGTACTGACACGTCAATCACAGTAATTAACCAGGATCCCACGCTGACATGCCTCGTTTTTAAATTAATAATCAGAACACTATATTTCTTTTTCACTGCGGGTCATGTTATCCATGCGGTTACGCACTGGGACGTGCGTAATTTATTGAATTCGTTGAGAAAAACCCTTCAGAAAAAAAGATGGAATGTGATTTAATAGTGATTTGAAATGACCAGGAATTAACGCGTTATTACATTTATTTAGAGTGACTGGATTACTTGTCCAGCTGATCCCCGCATATTTTATTCAAAGGAAAGTAAATTTCAAACAAACACGTTCATTAGTAAGATGCCTCAGGTCAATACAGTACTATGACCACTGTAGGTGGCATGATGATGATGATGATGATGAAGGTGATGATGGTGTTGCTGTTAATAACCACAGATCATGGTGATTACCATGGTGGATGTACATATATGTATAATGGCCAGGGCAGGACTAACATATTTCTTGCATCACAAAACTAAAAACAACTAAATATAAAAATGAGAAAAATATTAATTTAAAAGTGATACAAAACGGATATGTACAAACAGCCCAAACAGCAAAAAAAAAAAAGGTTGTAACTAAACCCGCAACGCAAATCCTTCTCCGCTAGAGGGCACTAATTGTTCAACTACAAGCCAACAATAAAGTGGAGCCTTTTGATGGTTTTTATGACTTTTCCAAATGGTCCACGGTGCTTCAGTGCACCTCTATTCCATCCAATTTATTTCTTGACAGAAATAGAACAGAATGCAAAGCGAACGTCATCACACTGTTTCGGAGTTCGGTGACAGATTCCCATAACATTGCCGTTCTTTTATGTATTTTCTGCTCGAACACTGTCTCCACTGACTGTTGTGGGACAAAATATAAATTCACAAGAGAATGAAGTGTTGCGACAAGTTTGTAGTAGTGGCTGAAAACAAACGTTGGAGTCAGCTGATGTTAGGTTTCCACGTTTGACCCGGGTCACCCTTCAACAATGACCATAAAAATACGTCAGCATTTAAAGTGGTCCTCAACTGACCCACGGAGGACCCGATCGACCTCAGTTGTGGGAACATCCCTGAACCGGATCGCGTCACTGTATCCAATTTCTCAGAGGATCATTCCCCTTTAAGCATCCAGTCCTCCTGGAAGACGCTCCATTGTCTTAAGTCCACCCATCTGTGGGGGTGGTTCTGCGAAAGTTTGCAGAGGAAAGTTTTGAAGCTGTCACTGGCGCTCGGCTGCAGACAGATGGGGGGCAGACCGGACCGACACCCCTTATCAGACCTCACTACTGACATATGAACGAGTCCACTGAAAAGACCAGAGAATGCAACAAAGACGCGCCGTGGTAGCGCACGGTGGTTCGGGCCTGAACTGAGGATGTTTGCTGTTGGGCAGTGTCACAGTTTGTGTTCATTATCGTAGCAGAGCCAGGCGTGCGCCCTTAGCCCAGATGGGAATGGTTTAAGTTGTCTGTAGACACTCTCCTGGCCAAAAACATTAGATGAGTTTCAGGTTCAAAACAACGTCCTGACAAAATGACCCGTTTGAACTGCGGGCGTCACGCGGTTGGACCTGGAGTGAGTCCTCTTCTCCTTGGCATCGCACTTTTGACCCTGCTGAGAAGCTGCACAACGTTAGGATCATCACATGGATCAGGTTAGTCAACACGAAAACGGACCGTAATGTCTACGACAACTACTACTATTGTTGTTGTTGTTGTTGGTAGAAGTTCAGACGTGTAAACATTACCAATTACTGTTGATCTATAAAATGTCACAGCAACGATTTATGTGGTTGTCGTGTTCACACACACTCTAGCGACAGGATGGAAGATTTTTATTGATGGACATGGATGGATGGATGGATGCATGGATGGTTCAGTGCCACAGCAGCATAGGACAGATAGCATAGGACCAAAGCAAAGAACAAAAGCAAAGCATAGTTCAAAGACCAAAGCAAAGAACAAAAGCAAAGCAACTGATGAACAATGGTGAAAGTTAACATTGTGTAAACCAGTGTCTGTAGGGTTGAATAAACCATCAAACAATCCATAGACAGAATAAAGCAGAGTGAAACCCATCCAAATGTGGTCTTTAATTCTTCATTTCAATAGATCTGAATTTGCCAACTCAGCAAAGATCACAGAGGTGACTTTAATAGAACTAGAACAAAGAAGCCGGCCCTGTGTGTGGAGCTGTGAACAGTTTCATTGCAGCAGTTTTTTCTTTCTTTCTCTCTCTGTCTTCCCCGTCTCCCTATCTCTTTCTGAGTCACTGTGGCCTGGTTGTTTTTTATATGGTCTGGACATCTTTGGTTGTCTGTTGAAGAGGCATGGCTGAGGCAGGGACATCAGTCAACTTCCTTAACGTCACTCCTTTGAAAGGCAAGATAAAAGCAGAGACGAATGAGTGAGCAGAAGCTCATTCATCTGTTTCAGAGCGGATCATGTCACGTTTGGCTTTTTCCACTAAATAGGATTGTGAATTCTGTCTTCGATAATGTTGAAAACCAAGAGAAAGTTCAGAGACTAGTTCCACTCCTGAAGAAATATTCCACAAACCAGAGTATTTCTGGGAATTTTTACACTAATCGTGCAAATGTTCCAAACATACATACATGTATGAATAAATTATTGTTTTCCTATCGCATTGACCAAATCAAGACAGTGTAAATTAGACCAGCTGACTCTACTGTGGCGACAGGTGACTGATTATGTGTGACTCAAACTAATTGGTCCTGAGGCTTTGCTTGTTCGGGTGAATCACTACAGACTGAAGCCATATTTGCCCTCCCTTAAGAGCCTTTGAGCAGTACGTAGCTGACAAGTTTTGTTTGCTGCTGCTGTTCTGTGGCCTACACTGACCTCTGAGCTCAGCAGCCGTGGGCAGATGGCGTAACATGATGGGAATAGGTTCTCATAATAAGGCTGCATCACAAAGTGAATTAGAGGTCAAGCTCAGTGGAAATTAGAGTTTTAATCTGGCCTTGAAGGTTGTCCTCAGAAGTCATCTCTTTCTGCACTCTCAGCCCATCAGTCGATGCAGAGTGTGGTTTGTATTTTAGCAGGCTACAGAAGTAGGTGATGTGTCCCTCAAAGCAGGAGAAGAATGGATTGCGGATGAATGGTGTTTGAAGGCCGTGTGTCTTTGAAGCTGAAGGTTTGGGGGAGTGGATGCTCTCAGTCAGAGGTTCTTCTTCAGTTAGTGCTCGCAGCACAATGGACCAGAATGAACCGCAAGGGAAGAGTGTTTCAACAGAAGTCGGTGACAAACGTTGGCATAAGACGTTCAGATTTTGTATTTGAACATATGAAAACAATCGTTAATTCACCTTCAGACATTGTGTTCTCGAACACACACCGTCAGCTTTACAGCCTCCCAGCTGCCACTTATAACCGTAGATGGTTCAAAACCCTTGTTCACATTATACTCACAAAGTTGCAGGAACTTTGTCAGATTTCTTTTATTGTGCTTGTTGCCTTTATGATGATAATTTTTTGGTGCTACTCTATTCAATTAGATTATTCTTACTGTAATTTTCTTTTTTATGGCAAACAAGAACATTTAAACCTACAGGGAAAAGCTGCCAAAAAACAAACAAAAAAAAAAACACCAGAATGAAGCTTCCGATTTCTTTATCTATCCCTTTATGTATTTGTAATTAATGAATAGAGAATAATTTTACAGATAACGGACAGACCTACCTCCCGAGGGACACTGTACATTTCCATCTGGATTCACTTCTTAATCAAATACATATAATGATGAACATGGTCTGGGACTGATGACAACGATGTAATGAATCAAATGACAGCAATGTCGGGCTGGTTTGAAGTATGAAATTCCCCATAATAGTTATTATGAAGTGATTAAATGCAATCATTTTATTTCTTCATCACTTTTTTCTCTGAATTCTGAAGTCGATTCTCCTGGGATTCTTCACCACCCTGCGCTGCTCATGATGGCGTAGCCTTGAATGCATCTTAAATGTCTTTCTACAAGGTTAACATAGCAAACATGTTTGTGTTGTCTTCATGTAGGCCAGACATTTGAAACACATTGTATTTGTAGTGTGAAAGTATTAGTGCAGATACCTGGATGTACTCTTGTATTGTATGTATTGTTTACACTCTGATTATTCTTTCTGAATGGGCCAATGATGGTGTGATAAATGGTGTGTGTGTGTGTGTGTGTGTGTACCTGTCATTTTCTACAAAGGCCACGTGTGGAAATCACAATGTACAGAACATTGCATGTGGACCATTTAGTTGGGTAGATAGATAGATAGAATTATTAGGACTTTAACATTTTTAATTGTGTGATCAATACCTCTGAGTGGCTTGTATTTACTTTTAGTTTTGATGTTATGTGTTTTCATGTGTCTTAAATAAAGACTTTTGCAAACTTACCAGAGGTTAGTTCAGATGCTAAGAGATGCTATCAGGTATTCATTTAAAGTTTAGTAATGAGCACATCACTGGGAACATAATCTTTTTGAAATATATAGCAAAAATAGAAGGGAAACGGAATCTGAAAATGAAGTAAACACAGGCATTACCTATGGTCACAGGGTACATATGTTCCTCACCTTGCCTTCCTTGCAGCTGCTTCTGCCTCTCCAGGTGGTAGGAAATTAGATGGTGTTATTTTTATCAGGAGAATGAGTTTCAGTGACCTTATCACACATGTGCTGCACTTCAGAGCAGAGTGAAGACAGGTCACTAGACAGTCTAACAGTCCTGTTCTAAGTAATGCTCCTCTCACAGCCTCTATATCCACTGCAGTCGTATTCAAACATGATAAAGACAGATGAGACACCCATCTGGGTTTGTTTATCACTTCCTCAGTTTGTTTACAGCTTTGAAACCACGTAATTTTTCAATTACCCTCTCCTTTCCCATGATTTAATAACCTTTCTCCTTCTCTGTCCCTCCCACGGTGGCTTTGGCAGAGGGATTACTGCAGGATCTGCCTTCCTATAAAGTGGTTCACCCCATTAGAGTGGATGCCAGAGGTCACTTCCTGTCCAACTTCCTGTCGCATCATGCTCGCCGAGTGCAGCGCAGGGAAACCTCAGAAGGAAGAGTGGACTCGGATCAAGTCTTCTACCAGCTCTGGCACGACGGCCACAGACTGAACTTTAACCTCACCCTCAACTCACACCTGTTGGCCCCAGGCTTCCTGACAGAGAGGAGGTATGGCGGCCTGAAGGGCTCCCAGATCCGCCCTCCTACATTCTCCCGGTGCCACTTCTTTGGTGAAGTGCGAGATGGTGCTGCTGTGAAAGGAAACGCAGCCATAAGTACATGTGATGGACTGGTGAGTGGAAACTGTTTGTCTTTGTGACCATATTAGTTTAGTAATAGTTTTCTTTTTTATTATGTTTATCGTATTCTATTTTTGTGTAAGTTCAAAGGCTAAAGGGCAAAGTAAGAAAGGCCAGAGTCCATTACAGAGGGAGGTTTTGTTTCCAGAAGGGAATATTTTTCCTGACGTTCCTCAAAGACTGCTGTCTTAACCTATTGTTTTGACAAGCTGTAGTTAAACGCAGGTAAATCTACATAATGGTTGCACTTCAGTGCAACTTTATTGCTTTAAACAATTAATAGGTAATTGCTGTATAGTATTGCGTGCCCTAAGGTGCAACCACTCATTATGATTAAACATCATAGTGGATTAAGGAGCAACAGAGCCCCAGGTGTCGCCGCATCTATTTCCATGTTTGGAATGTATCTCATTTTAATGAGTGAAAAACATAACAATAAGTCTGACAAGTCCATAAACACTGACTGTTCAACAGCAAGATCACAGGACCACAGGACGGTTGTTATCTGGTGAAGAATATAATGTACAAAATATAGGTTTGACTTCATATACAAATAGATATTCTTAGCTCGTATAGCCAAAAGGGAATTGTGAGTTAAATTCTACTAATACTACTCATTGGGAAAATAATGATGAACCTCCACTAAAATCAGCACCAGAATGGCATTTATAGAACTAGGTGAAGCAGAGGCAATGGTGAGTGAGTGTCACAGTGTCTGAGAATAGATGATCTGACCTCAAATATACCCAACAACCAGAGGGGCATTTAGATATCAGTCTGTCCAAATTACAGGTGTGTCTGAGACTGTCTGTTATTCTGACAGGTAATCTGTTTTGCAGCAGCTAGAGGAAGCAGACGACCTGACACCCCCCTCAGCTCAGCTCTCCCAGCAGAACACAGTGGTCTAACAGAGACACCACTCTTCCTTGGACTGATTTAAGTCCAACAATGTTTGTAAAATCACAGGTCTGTTCCGTTGTCCTCTTGAAAAAGCACTAAGTGGAGTACTGATCCATTTACAGAATGACATGGGGCTCAAAGCTCATGCAAAAAGTCCCTTTTATCCTGTCTATTATTATCAAACCTCCTCCAGAACCAGATCAGTCAAACTACTGTAACACTCTGCAAATTTGAACTGCCCTTTAATAATATTCTGGGGGCAAACGACAAAAATCCAGCATGGAGTGACGTGACCTTCAGAACCTTCTCTCCGTCTGTGGGTCTGGCCTCAAGATCTCCTTTAAACTGGACGGTCGTCATCCATTCATCTTCATCTACTGCTTTATCCCATGACAGATCAAGCAGCATATCGCACCTTACATCTGGCTGAAGGCAGGATACACTCTGGACAGGTCATCAGTCAATCACAGGGCCACACACACGAACAAACACACACACACACACACCTATGGTTAGTCTTGTCTGCTGGACTATGGGGAACTGTGGTGGACAAGATGTTCTACTGTATGGAGAGAAATTGTGAATTCTTCCTCTGTGATGTTAATTACCCCAGTAGGGATAGCACTGGGCAACAACACTACTCCACTATATGGCTCCAGGTCTGACATGTTTACATACATTTACATTCAAATAAACTGATAAACACATGCAACACAATAAAACCAACAAAGTCACTGTTGGACTTTAAAAAGCATCGCTCCCATGATCTCATCTTTTCTGCAGATACGAGGTGCCAGCCTCAGTCCTCAGTCTGACTTGTGTGGTGTCAGAGATTTGCTCTTAGGATTACAAATTCAGATAAAAATGCATTCCACGCAAACAAGTTGTGAAAAGGATTAATGATGCGTGTGACTAAAAGCTGGCTGGAGGTCTTTGGTTGATAAGATAACTTGACATATTGATGGAGGAGAAATGCTTGGTATCTGATTCAGTGTCATTATTTTCGTGAGTTACTGGTAAAACTGATTATGTTTTAAGTCATTCCACGTGAGAAATAAAAACCTGGTCCCATTGAGTAAAAAGTAAAAACCCTCTGGTTCTGATTCATATATATTTTGGTTGTGTTACTATATGATTATTCTGGAGAAAAACTAGTACAGTAACCCCATCCTTCACCAAAGGTGTCTAAATATTTGGAATATGTGGTAAAATAGTACCTACAAAGTACCTCAGTAATTTAGGAATCAAGCTCTTTTGTCTGTAGTATTTTCATTTATCAGCTCCTTATTTTTATTGATGTGATGGGACAATAGTGTCAGTTTGTACTCCTGGATGTCTAATTCAGAGATATTTTTTTCCCGACCCTCTGGCTGTCTTACAGGTTTCATATCCTAAATGGAAACCCAAGCTGCTTGAAATAATGTGCCAAAATTACAGTCTATTACTTCTCGTTACTGCAGTTAGCTCCGCCATTACATTCAAGGATCCTTGACATAATGAGATTCATTTTCTTTTCGAAGCTGCACTTTTCAGACAAAGTCATTAATGTGTCCATGGGGCTCGGGACGGCACATCCCACTGTATTTGTAGGCAGTAGATCAGTCGTCATTAGAATATTCACGCAATTAGAACTGAGAAATTAACATTTTGAATTGAACAAAGGGTTAAGGGTCGTAAAGAAGTGTTGAGAAAGTTTGAAAATTGGCAGATTAATTTCTAACAAGTCACCTCTGTCAGGACTGGCTCTAAGACAGTGAAGTAAAAATACAGCTTAAAATGATCTGACATGGACCAAAGGACATTCAGCCTTCAGTTGTTGTCATGTTTGACCTTCTGTGGGAAGAAAAAGTTCACTTATTGAAAATGAAACAGACCGTCTCTTCAGTTGTTGTCATGTCACTTATTGAAAATGAAACAGACCGTCAAGACAAGTACCTATGAAAAAAAGCTGCATCTGTGATGGTGAAAGGATGAATCTGTGACCAGAGCAGAGGTTAAAAAGTAAGACAGAGGTACGGATGGATGGAAATCATTCTTCCATATTTACGTGTCGATGTTAGTCAGTATGCATCATTCCTTGTCAAATAATAAATAATTAAAATGTATTAAAAGTCTTAGTCTTACTGTAGCAACATAACTAAAGTTTTTATACAGTTGCTGTTTTAACCTGAGATGTAGGAGGGAGTGCTGCTGATGTGTCTCCGTTTGAGAGGATTTAAACTGTGACGTGGTTAATTCTGTCTTCTGAAGTAAATCTACATCTGCTCAGCAGCCTAACTCTGTCAAAGCTGAACCGACTGTGTGCATACAACAGCCTCATCGTATTGGAACGATGACTTCAGCCTCACTCTAATCAATACTGTTAGTTTTTTATTCTTTGGTTTTAGTATATTCAAACTTGTCAAAAAGCGTTGACATTTAATTCCAGGTGTCACTGATAAGGTGACAAATTAAAAGAGAGACCATTGGTAGGTAATGGTTCCTCTTGTTGAGAAGTGCTCTGTGCTGTTGATTGGATTCAAGTCTTTGTGATTGATTGTTGAAGTGTGATGATCTGTAGCAGAGCTGTGGTGTAGAACTATGGTGACAGCTCAGCGTTTGAGTCTCAGTCCTCTGTCATTTCCTCTTCCCGTCTGTGCACCACACACCTTTTATAACAGGCATTAGCTCTTTTCAACTTTTACGTGCATAACAGACTGTACCTGTTTCATAAAGAGGTCTGATGACATTTTACGCCGACATTTAATTTACCTGAAGTGATGCTTTTCTGCTCTGCACCGTAGGGCAAGCATCACACAAATCAAACCTGGTCTAGCAACTGCAATTTCCAGCTCCATTTGGTGAGGTTGGAGCTGAGTGCATGTGTCACCTTATTCAATGCCACTATTGAAAGTCTCCAGATGAGCAGCAGAGTGAGCTCCTGCCATCTGTACCTCAGCATCTGTGAAGCCTCTGGACTAACTCTGAAGATTCAGCTGGGCCTGCTCAGTGTTTTACAGTACTGAGGAGCTGGTGCTGCAGAGCAGAACAGTGAAGTGGATGTCATTGGAAACATCTGTGGTCATTATGTCGCTTCACTCGTCTGTTCATTTCTTGTTCTCGCTCTGTTTTTGCCAAAGTCTGTCTACAGTAAAAATGCACATGTTTACTGTGAGCTTTGCAAAACTCAGATGTGAACAGATAACTTGTGTAAAACAGAGAGCTTTAAAGTCTTTAAAGTCACATGTTCCACCCAGTCTTTCCTACAAAGAGACAAACGCTTAAGTTCGGCATTCATTTAACAACTGCATCACATGTCAAGGATTCAGCTGTATTTTACTGTGATACTGACTTTGTCGGGGTGTTGGTACACATATATGCTTCTCTGAATTGTCTTCCTACTTCTTAGATGCCAGGTTCAACAACAAAGTGTATTTTTGTGTGTACTACGAGGGGACCATAATAAGAATGCTACCTTGCACCATGGGTATCTCCAGCCGTATGTACTACAGTACTCCTACCAGTGCAAAGATCTGTCCACTGTCATTTACATACCAACAGCTAAGCACAGCTGCTCATTTAGCACAGCACTAAATAAACACGAGCTACATTACGTGAATAGCAGAGGTACTTGAAGTGGGCCGTCGTCTGAAACAACAGAGGGGAGACAGTCAGTGAGGACGTACAATGAATCATGTGTCTGAATATTAACATTGAAGTATGAAACGTTAGTGACAAACTCCAGATTGAATGTTGAACCCTCCACTTCCTGCCAGTTGGACCAGAGTTTGTTGTCCTTCTCACTGCTAACCTGTTGTACTGCAGCACAAAGTGACTCATTAACAACCAGCCTGGCTGTTAAACAGGTATTTGAAGAATCCATCTGTGCTCAGTCCTTCGGTTTATTCCACCAAAACATTTCAGTAGACATCATCGAGACAAATTCATCTGCCTCTCCTCAGAGCCGACACGGCCGAAATAGATTTTTTTTTTTACCTGCTCTGTTGTTGTCTTTGTCTTCAGACAGGACTGTTCAAGTTGTCTGAAGAAGAGTTCTTCATTCAGCCCCTGGAGGAGTCAAGTGGCGAGAGCTCAACCCCACAGGCCCATGCCATCTATAAACGCCACACATCTCCTCCAGGCACTCGGCAAGTCTCAGGGAAACCAGCTCCCAGAGGAACCTGTGGCATCAAAAGTAAATCACACACACACACACACACGCCCAGTATTGGAACTAGGCGTGTTGGAAATAGAGAGTAACACAACTGGACCAGTGTTGGTTCCAGGATTATGAGCTGCTCACAACATCAGCTGTGAGTTATTTGATATAGTTTGATATTCTCAAAATGTAAAAAAAAAAAAAAAACCACACATCATCTTCCTCCCAGAGCTGATCACAGATACAGTACCTTCTTCACTATCACTGGTGATTCATTATTGTGAGCCTCATGCACCAGCACAGACCTCCACCTTTTTACGGTGCTTAAGTGTAATCCTTCAAAAAGATGTTTCAAAAGGAATCCCACTGCGTTCCTACTTGGAAATTCCAGTGGCTGATTTCTTACAAGGCCATGGTTGTTAATGTATCCATGTTGTTTCTTCCTTTGAGTTTGAAGCAGAACAGAACATGTAAAACATCAGTACGGTGTTCTCCCTTCAACCATGGTCAGTTCAGAAATGTTAAGGAACTCAACTTTTCGTCAATGTGATAAAGAAGCACTAGTGCCACCTACAAATACGTCCTCCTTTTTTAATGATGCTGTTTTCAAGCTGGCATGATTTTTTTTATTGCATAGATTTGTTTAATTATTTATACTCATCCTGTTCCCCTTATGCAGGTAATATGCAGTGCAGATTGTTGGAACTACTCTGCTACTGATGTATCTGACACACGCATATTCAGTCAACATGTTTGATAATGCATACAGTAAGCCAATATAAGAAAAAAAACATATACATTTATTAATAGAAGTTCATTTGCATCTTCTCCTGTGATCAGATGATGTCACCGTGGCGCTGCGCAGCCTTTATCTGCAGCACAGTGAGAGAAAAAACGCCAAACATGTGATGTTTTTTTAAAAGCTCTGTGCTCGAAATAGAGAGAAAAAAAAAACAACCTAGAGTCATCCGATACAGAGAATAAACTAAACGCTGCAGGTTTAATAGCAATATCTGAGTACGTGTGTGTGCTCAGCACGACGCAGACGAACAGTAAATCACCAACCACCGCCTGCTGATTTGTGAAGGTCGCAGCAGTAAAAACAATGACATTTCGTTCGGCTCATTTAATATCTTACTTTGATTAAAATAAAAAAAAGATCAACATCACACAGAACCCTGGAACTCAGTGTCAATGTCGTTGGAACCTTCGTCTTTTATCCGTCTTTTACAGTCTAACGATACATTTAGTGGTTGGCTGTTAAATAGGTCGGCGTTAATTACCGGCAATTAAATGTATGTATTAAAATTAATTCATTATGCATTAACATCAGTGGTGGTTTATTGTTACAGACTGGCTCTGTGTTTTTCATTAACATTTCCCTGAAGTGTCGATGAATCACTCAGTGTTGATAACTTCATGCTAAAAATAACTGAAGTCCTTCATTTTAAATGGTTCTACGGTACTTTTTAGACACTCATTCGTGCCATATCACTGAGTTAGCACTTTTTTCACATGAACTCCTTTTGTTTTATTTTCATTTATCACATCCTGTTCTGTTTCAGTCATCTTAACTTCCTGTTCTCCTCTGTCCCTCACCTCTTTGATCACCTGCCCCTGACCTAACGACACACACCTGTGTCTCGTTGCCTACTCCTCTCTGGTCCAATCAGGTTTTGTCTTGCATTTTGTAATGAACATGTTTCCTTGTTCCTTTACGTTTCTGTGTTTAGTTTGTTAGTTTGTGAGAGTTGGACACTTTTTGGTGGATTTTCTTCATGGTTCATCGACTGCTTCCTGAAACCCAAATTGAAACTTTTTATACTTTAAAAACCACGTCTCAGCCTGTGATAGAAAGCAGAATAACAGGAGGAGAATCAAGGCTGACACTGAGGACGTCCTCCACGTCCATTTGATATTTAGATAAGAAAAGAGGAAAAATAAAGGAAGTGGAGAAATGGGTTGGTTTTGGCCTCAAGCCAAGAAAGTGAGGCTGTGAGATGTGTACAAAGAGTAAAAATCACATCTTTTTTTTTTTATTTCTTGTTTACTTTTCATCCATCTCCAGATTCTGTTAGTATTGATGACACTGAGCGACAGCGAGAGCGCTGGGAACGTCGCCAAGGGAGAAGGAGGAGAAGAATTCATCAACGCTCAGTCAGCAGAGAGAAGTGGGTGGAAACACTGGTGGTGGCAGACCCCAAAATGGTGGAGTACCACGGGGGTAAGGCTGTGGAGGGCTACGTCCTGGCTGTCATGAACATTGTAAGTAGATCAAGCACACGCAGATGTTCACGGGCTTCTGCACACAGACTGACAATCAGCCGACATTAGCATAAGCATCGAGAACAAGGGTGAACCTGGTGTTGTGCAGCAGGAAAACAAGTCGAACCCTGAAATGTTTGACTCTAATTTAATTAGAAAGTGTGTGATCAGTTAGTTTAAGTCTGAAATGGATTTTAACACAAACGGAAATGTGAAACAAATGCTGTGGGTGGGTGAGCTTTTTTATCAACTGTGCCTGGTGTCATTATCTTTCTAACTAATCTCTTGATTTGATGACTTTTTTAAATTGAAATGAGTCGGGAAAAATCACACAAACTGTTTACTGATAGGCTCAGATGATTATAATTGTAAGTGACAACTTTATTATAAATGAGTCACGTGCAAGGACGTAGAACTAAAGCTTCCAGATGTTACATATGTGATGCATTAAAAAAAAGGAAACATGTTATATATGTCAGTTTGTTATGGTAAAACAATGGTTTAAACAAATGCAGGGCTTTTAAACTGATGCTAATGCTTTATCAAAAAGGATTCCTACGGATATATATATATATATATATATAATTTTTAAGAATACAGATACCAAAGCACGACTTCACACTAAGAAAAGCAGTAGTTTTTTTAAAAGCGTACCTCTGAAAAACATAGTGAGAAAAAGCAGAGTGAGCTCCAGAATGTTTTGACCGTCTAGAGTGAATACCTGTCCAGATGTTTTTGTCATTCTCCTCCAAACCAGATTGTTTTCCCCTCTTTTATTCCCTAAATACTTGGCCACTGAAAATGACAGGATTAAGTTTCACCTGATCCTGAATGCTTTTATTGTAGCAGTGATTGTTGTCGTGCGTTGGTGTTGTGGGGATGTTGTCTTTTTCAGCCTGTAGAAGTACTGTGATGGCTCAAAATATCAGGAAAGGAAATTCACTCATGTGGAGCCTTGGAGATGAAGTGACTTAACAGATAATAATAGACACAGGAAGCAGCCATTATTCCCCACTTCCTCTGCTGCTCATATTTGACCCTTTAACTGTCCATCTTTGATCTAAACACTTTTATCAACAGAACAATTGAGTCCTCTGAGGGAAACCACCTCACACATGTAGAAAGAATAACAAATGACATGGTCTTCCTCAGCTACCAGCTGCTCCATTGTCCTGCCACAGACACTGTTTTGAAGTTGTCATCTGAAAAGCGTTACACTTGTGTTTGCTGGTGCAGTGTGTTTACACACATCTGAGAAGCAGCAGAGCCAATCTTGTCACAAAGAAAATCGAATCTGTTCGCAAGATTAGGTCACAATCTCATTTTTAAAGATAAATGATCGTGTATTTCCTCTGAACTATTTATAATCATTTCCCATTCCTGAAAATTAAATTCTGTAGCAATTCACCAGATATTTCATAGGGAAATTATACAGTGTGTGGCTCAAGGGGATCAGCAGCCCAAACAATCGTAGGCACATGGGAGGTTCTATATATAGAACGTAGACACGGGAAAAATAGAAATGAACCACTCATCTAAACAGTAATTGTACTTTCCAGACAGTGTAACCGTCCCATTCTTCTTAAAGAGAAAATGCTTTCTCATCTTAAGGAATGTGGTTAGAAAACAAAAATCAATAGTGTTGTAAACATCGCTGGCTGCTGCTTGTGTGTGTGTGATTGTTTTGTAGTGAAGTCGCTGCTGCTGTTCTTTAAAAAAGAATAAAAGTGCAACAACTTTGAGCTACTCTTTAACCATAAACAGAGTTTGATGAACGAGTGCGTCAGCTCCTGTATGATGTGCCTCGGCTGGAAAGTTTATGCAGCATCTGTGAAGATGTTTGAACAGACGTTGACACAAATCTGTCCTATGAAATATGAGTGGGTTTATTTCAAAACCAAAGAAACGGATGTGGAGAGAGAGCAAACACGGGAATCATCACAATCTTTTCATGTCACTGTGAAGGTGTGTCCTAATCAAAGCTGTATTTATTAGACTGGGATCCTGATGCTCACATTAGGCTGTGGGTCCTATGCCTTGGTGGTCATGTGACCTCGTGATCTGTTTCTTCTACAAGTTAATATTTGCTGCACCTTACAGCCCCAATCAGCCCACCCCTCTCCCCTCACCCTTCCTCCCCTCTGACGCCCCACATGTGTGGCAACACAATAGGAAACTGATTACCATTTCAAAACATTAGTCTGATCCCAGACTATGTTCAGATGTCCATGCTGTTAGACAAACAAACACTAGGGTTTCAAATGAAAATACAGTCTGTGTCGTGTGTTTGTCACAGTGTTGGTACACATGCAGCTCCTGCAGAATTCCAATCAGTTGTTTTGCATCAACAACAACAACAACAACAATAGTGTTGATGGAAGAAGATCCTCCTAAGAGGAATCATCTTTGGAAATGAATGTTTTTTTTTTTTCTTGCGTGTATTGCTTTTTCAGCTAAACCTTTCCCCGTGGGTCCCACTCCTCATCGACCTGCAGAGTACAACTCTTCAAATCTGCATACGGTTACAGTTAAATGCCCTTTGGAATAATTAACATTAAATAACCACATTTATTTAGCTGCTTTCTCTGCAGACAATTCTGAAAATATAAGATTCACAACATGTAATGTTATGTTCTCCAAAGTACTAATATTTTATTTTATTTTATTTTATTTTTCTGAATTCAGCATCACAAGCCCACACAGAATACTGTCGGCTGGAAAGTAACTGTGGTTTAGTGTTCAGTCACTTTGTTGTGTTTTCAGGTAGCAGGACTGTTCACAGATGCCAGTATTGGAAATGCAATTAACATCGTGGTTGTTCGACTGATTCTACTGGAGCAGGATGAGGTAAAGTCAATATCTGTCTGTGTTCGTTAACTTTGCTGAATTTAGCCACAAATTGAAGAGGGAACTTTTCTTTCAAATCAATGCTGATGATCTGTGGAACACGGTGTAACGGAGCTGTTGAACCTAAAATGCCCTCTCTGTGGTGTTTGTGGTGAAACTCATCATCATCATCTTTCTACACGATGTTGCCGGACATTTCGTTATATTAAAACTATCCAGTTTGACCAAAAACAACAAAAAAAGATGGAAGGTTGAGAAACTGGTTCAACTTCTGTCGACTTTGAAATAAATGTGACAGCTGGAAGGTTAAAGCAGGAACAGAGACGCAGTGACTGGCAGCTGTTTGAAAAAGATTATAGAATAAGCGTTCATTTTCTCAACTGTATGTGATTGAGGAGATTGGAGTCAGAAATCCACCACACAGCTTCCATTTGTATTGTTTTTTTACCTGTTTTCACCTCATCCTGACCTGAATCACAATTCTGCACACCAGCCTTAGGTGATACTATAAGTACTTTCAATGTGAAGTAGAAGGTAAATACATGTGACTTCTTTGTCACTTGGATAAAAGGATCAGACAAGCAGGAGGTGTCTTCACCTCAGAGACCCTGGAGCTGCTGCTGATTAAATGCTGTGTGTGTTGCATTTGACATGTCACTGAGTACCGAGTGAAACCTTCTTTAAAAAAAAAAAAAAAAAAGTTTAAGCAGGTGTTTAAAAAGTGTCTAAGTTTTTTTTTTTTCCTCTTTTGCATCTTTTGGCAGTTTTGTAAGAAATGAACCCTGTGAAGAAAAACAAAGGGAAGATTATGATGAACATTTACTGGCCTGTGTTTCCTTCTATGAACTTGGCTGTGAAAATCCTGCCTTATTTACCTTGACAACTCAGAACATTATGATTAACTGACATCTCTCCAGCGTTATCACTGACTGTAGAGCTGATGGAGAAGCAGTTAAAGGCCTAGAATGTCTCACACACAATAAAGACTATGGTCTGATTGACCCGTTCATAATGACAGCTACAGTGTTTAGGTTCAGCTTTGGTTCTGCAGCTACGTTTGTCCCATAGAGACGACTCTATCTGTGCATGTTTGTGTGTGACTGTGGAGAACAGGATGAGCTGAAAATCAGCCACCACGCCGACAACAGCCTGAACAGTTTCTGTAAGTGGCAGAAGAAACTCAACATGAAGGGAGACGATCACCCACTTCACCATGATGTCGCTGTCCTACTTACCCGGTAATGACTCATTCTTTTTCTGTTTATCATTTGTATTGAACTTCACCTGTCAGGACATGTTCATGTGCGACAACACACTCATCAATATGGCTTCTCACAAGGCTGTACGTTTTTTCATGCAGAACTGTGGCAGCAGAGAGATAGTGACCTGACAGAGAGACAGACGTCCTCATGTGATCTGATCACTGAAGGACAGATAGAGTCTAAAAAACTACTAAAAAATACTCCTATGTTTATAACAAACGCACCAGGATTCTTAAGACACATAGTCTGCAGTGTATCCGACTTCTGCTGCTCCACTGTCACCCAGAATTCTCTCCCCCACGACCTCCTCCTCCTCCTTCTCCTCTGTTTTCTAACCCTCTGTCATTTTCCTCTCTTTGATGCCCTTCACTGACTGTCCACCTCTGCCTTTCCAAGGAAGGATATCTGTGCAGCCGTCAACATGCCCTGTGAGACTCTGGGTCTGTCTCATGTGGCAGGGATGTGTCAACCACACCGCAGCTGCAGCATCAGCGAGGACACGGGGCTCCCATTGGCCTTCACTGTAGCACACGAGCTGGGTCACAAGTAAGGTCACACACACACACACGTGTACTGCAGTTTAAGCATTCACTTCATTCATATTAATTCAGTTTTCAAGTTTAAAAGGTCAAATGGAGATTATAAATGGCGTCTAGTATTTTCTACTGTGAAACAGCACACGCCACTGACTGTGATGGTTTAACACATATATATGTAATATTACTGTTATGGCAGTGTTAAATAATCTAAAGTACGTACAGTGTGTGGTGAAGTCCTGTGTTCATGTATGTTGTGTGACCTGAGAAGCTGAGGTTAAATTCTTCATATCTATGAAGATTCTCAGTCGTCAAGGTCAAGGTCAAGGTTGAAGAGGTCAGTTAGGCAAGTGGGCGTGTTCCAGTGTTAATACATGTGCAGCTTATTTTTAGTCCGAACTCTTTGTTTCTCAAGAGATTGTGGTAAAGAAAATAAAAAAGAACATACGTGTGTTTTCTTATTTAATTGTTGGCTCTGACATCGTAGATGTTGAAGGTCTACAGAGATGCTGTGGTGTTGTTCTCTGGAAGGCCCCGATATCCACTCAGAACAAAGAAAACTGCCTCAGTCTGGAGACTGACTGAATGACGGTGTAACAAACTCAGGAGCGATTTAATGATCGTGGTTTTTTCCCCTGCTCTATTCTGATGACATCACCATTCATTGATAATCACTCATTCCATTCTAGAGCAAAGAATGTACATTTCTGAGTTAGTGAGTCGACCTTTTTCTTATTTGCAGGTTATAAAAATTTCATCCCCGAAAGACTGACGTACTGATTAGATGATCACCTTGTACAGAGATCCAGAAGTTTGATTAACCTTTTTTTTCCCCACAATAATTTGAATTCCTGGGATTATCATGACCTTGGAAAACTTTGTGAAGAAGTAAAAGATAAATATTTGAAGATGGCACAGCCTCCAGCCTCTCATGGAAAGTGTAAATGATTTAATGACAGTATTGTTTGACCAGTTTCACTTTTGCATAGGATGAACCTGAACAACACACACACACACACACACCTAATCAACAGCAGAGCCAGGGATGTATTTGCAGTTTGTCAAATAAACTAGTGTTATTGAAACCCATAAAAACTCAAACATGGAGGATTAAAACGTGTAGTGACTGAAAACTGCCTCTTTGACTGTAACACAACAGGCTCCTGGCTCCTGGTTCCTATCTCACTTACCCAGGATGATTGATAAACACTAAAAGACTGCTCCCTTCACCGTGTTGGGGTTAAAACAAGGTTCAAATATTGGATTTCGAGGGTTTTCTGTATAATTATAAAGTGAAGTACTGCTGGGTGTATGAATAATGAGTGTTTTTTTTTTCAGGTGTTTATCAAACATGATAAATGTGACAGAGCTGCAGAGAGCAGTGATGTGGTTTTATAGCCTGGGAATTATCCTTGAACTTAGCCTTTATATCCAACCAAGTTTATTAGGTTGTTTTTATGTGGTAGTTATTTGGTGAAGCTATAATCACTAAGTGGAGTGTGGTTATTTGTTAGCTCTGACTGTATGATTCCTAAGAATTTTACTTTAGGTTTTAACTTTGAGGTTATTCTTTCATATCTTTTGTAAATGTAATTCTTTTTCTTCCTTTTTTTATTGGGGGTCATCATTCACCTCACAAGCTGGAGGATTTATTTTTATATTTTCATAATTACAAACGTGTGTTTTGTCTTATATGCTCTATTATGTATTCATAATGAAGTGTTCCACACTCACTCTAATTGCTCGCTCTGCGTGTTGTGCTCAATTTCACAGCTTTGGTATTCAGCACGATGGAAACGGAAACGACTGTGAACCTGTTGGAAAACGACCGTTCGTCATGTCTCCTCAGCTCCTGTACGGCACCTTCCTGCCCAGGTGGTCTCGCTGCAGCCGTCAGTACATCACCCGCTTCCTAGAGTGAGTATTTACCATGATCTCTGACTGTACTGTTTCATAAAGTTTGTTGTTAAGGTTCCATCTGAATGATGTGTTCAAATGTTCAATATTAAAATCGAACAATATCAGTTATTTTCACACAAAATAACCAAATTTTACCAGTTTTCTTTTTCTGCTACACAGCTTTTTACAGTGTCTTGTACTGTGTGCAGTATTTTGTGTACGTTGGCTGCCGGTATCAAAGCTCTGACAGGATGGGTTGAATGACTGAAATACTTCACAATCGTTGCCCCAGTTTTGAGCCACAGGCATCTGGAATTCATTAAGTGGGTGTCGAGCCACTCGACAGCATTGTAGCTTCCTGACTACACAAGAAAAAGGGTCTGTGGGCCGACAGTTACGCCCCAGGGAGCTGGAAACACAAAGGCTTCTGGTCTGTCTGTCTCTGTGTTTGTAATTAGAAAGGAGACGAGAGTGTGTGCTCGTGTGCATATACAGTATTTTCTCTCTGTAAGCTAATGATTGTTTCGACTTGGGATTGGATTTCTATTTTTTTTTTTTTTTGGTGCAGTTTATCATAACAAAGAATGGATTTGTTGACATTGTATATAGAGTCAATTTAGCTTGACAACATTTACCAGACAAGTCTACGTTCAAAGCTTTAAAAAGCAGGATTTTTTGCAGAGTTTGGTCACAGTAGGCAGCGGAGACAGACAGCTGGACAACAACGATAAGCAACCATGACTGTTTTCAGTGATTGCCAGAGTCTGACACTGTTGTGGCGTACTACAAAAATCCAATCATCCTTCCCTATTTTTTATTATATTAACATATTTAAACATTTTAGAAATGAAACAATGTGAAATGGAAGTTTGTTTTCTTGGTGCGTAAAATGAATAATCATTTAGTCAAACTGGGACGCTGAATTTTAAAGTATCAACAACTGCAGATCCAACACAGACAGACAAAGACTAGGTCTTAATGAAAGAAAGAATGAAGGGAAGTATGACAAAAATAACAGACAACAATAAATGTGAGACACAAAACAAGAAGAAGAAATTAGAATTGATCAATTGATCCCTTCCACAGACGGTGTTTAAAAAGCTGCGCACAAGTGAAACTGATATTAAGACCGAGCTGCAGTTAGGCAATAGCGACAAAGCAGTACGCATACTGTGATTTAAGAAGTAACTCCTAAAGTCATTGACAGAGTATTTTGTCAGTAATTCCTCCTGGTGTGTGGGTGAGACGAGGTCAGTGTGTGCTCTGCTTTCTGAGTATCTGGCTGCCCCACTGTTCAACATCCAGACAGGGGTTCTCCTTAGATGTCAGTGTGAGTGTGAGTGACTGTTTGTCTTGATGTTGGCACTTCCACACAGTGGCATGTGTCCAGACTCAAGGTGTACCTGCTTTATCTACTGCCGTCAGAGACCGGCTCCAGTGGCATTAGAGAATGAACGAACTGTTAAATTTTGTCGGCTTTGCCGTCTCTGACACAGTCACATTGCTGAAGGCTAAGTAAAGGGTATTTGAGTTGGCTCCTGTGCATACTCACCATGACAGTGAGGGTCACGTCTGGGTTTCATTCTGAGGGTGTTGGGCTACATTCTGCTGTGCTTGCAGTCGGTGGATAAAAAGGCAAAAGTCATTGTACTTAGTGGTGGAAAGTAACAAAGGACATTTACTCTCATTATTGTAAATGAATAGTTTTGTGTACTTAATTTCACACATTCTTAATTCAATGTTAAATTACAATAAAACATTTACTTTACTTTCTTTAGTACGATGTATTGAAGTATTCTACTTCACTACATTCTAAATCACATTCACTACTGAGTCAAAATAAAACCTGAATGCACCTGGTGTGACAGCAGCAACACAGTCTGACATGTTTTGTTACTGGACGGGTACGAGTACAGAATGGTCTAGAAGCTTTGTAATTATTCCCCAATAATTGTATTTTTTTTCAAGTGTTTTAATTCAACTTGAAATACATTTTTTCCTACATTTATCTGTGCATTTCTGTTACATTCAGTCACAGTACTATTACAGTCATATTCAAGACTTGTTTGGCTCCGAACCACATCATCTGCTCTATTCTGGGCTGACTGCACTGTTTGCCTGTAGCAGGACCGTTGCATAATTTGCTCATAACTATGCTCTAAGCCAAGCTGCCATTAAAGTAAAATAAAAATCTTCCTGCCAACAAGCCAGGAAGGCCGTCCTATCACGTTCACCAGACCTTCTGTTGCACTGACATCATTCGATGCAGCCCTTACATTCCTCAGGTCTGGTGAACGGACATTAGCTAAACACTATCATCATATTTTAGATCAGAATACTGAGATTAAATAAGTTATTTTTACCGTGCTTCAATTTTCTGTAATACATGAATCAAAGTAAATCCATTCAAGTCCCAACACTAATAAAATACAAGTTAAAGTTGAGAGACTCACAATGTTATATATATTTTTCACATATTTTCTGGCAGCACAGCATCTCGCACCATGACTAGAAAACTTTTGGAAATAATATTTTGTTGGTTATTCTGTGGTTCAGGTCCAAAATGAACCGAAACTTCTTTGCACTGAGAAATCACACGACAGAAATTGACATGAACTCATTTTAACGTGTGAGGGCCCTTCACACATCCTCCTCTGTGTACTTTAATGTGTACGGTCTGGGTACAAATTTAAGAACTACTTTATCTTTTCGCCTCCATGCTGCCCACCACTGTGAGCCTCAGACATTTAGATTGATAATTTTCTTCAAGATCTAAAAACTCCCTTATCTGTCTAACCATCTCTTGTCTCCAAATGCCAGCAATTTCCCCTTCTCAATTTTCTGTCTTATCTTTTTCACTGAGAGGAGACAAAGCCTTCGTTGTCTGCGTTGTCTTCAGACATTTACACAGGCCGTAGGTGTCATGGAGGTGGAATGTGGACACTTTTGTTGACAGGAGTTGTCACAGAGCATCAGCTTATATCAATAAAACACATAGAAATGTGACATTTACTTTGTGTTTTTCTATTTCTGATAATGAATCCAGTTCGCTTTAATCTCCTACAGTTTGTACTCTGTAAACTCATTGTAATGAGTCCAGTTGTGCTTCACGGAAACGTTGAAGATGTTTTTCAGGCGTCTTCAGCCAGAGAAAAAGCACATATAAAGGCGTGACTCATATCAGTTTATTAGAATTTTTTCCTTTTCCTACACAAACTATGTAGAAATCTACACTCTTGGAATGGAAAGGTTTTCAACTAAAAGGGCATCAGGTGATTAAAAACTCAAATATCAGCCTGCAACCCCTGAAGACGGGGGTGGAGGGAAGAAACTCTGATCATTAGTAGAACATTGACTAAACAGAAACACAACATGTATGTGCAGCAAACGAGGACTATTAGAATCATCACATTTGATCACATTGTTATCGGTGAAATGAATCATCAGTAATGAGTGATGGTCACTGACAATATATAGACAAAAGATAGACAGTGATCTCTGCTCCGTATCCTTCACTCTCAAGCCTCAATCTTTGTTCTTTTGGTGTGTGTGTGCGTGCGTGCATGCGTGTGTGTGTGTGAGTGGAGCTTTTGAATGCTTCAACACACACATTGAAAAAATGTTTGTTGACAGTTTCTGGTAATTAACAGGGACCAGCACTATTTCTAATTTGTGAACAAAACACAACTTGTACTCTAGGAAGAGTCTTTTCTGCTTCACTGCAGCTGACACCAAACGGTCTATTATTTCATCCAGTAAAACTGTCTCCAAGACGCTGCCTCTCACCTTTGAGTCGCCACAAAAACGAACCATTTGAGAAACCTGCGTAACAAAAATCATCCTGCTCTTTTATTAAAAACTCTGTGGCCCACGTTACTCTGAGGGTGAAAATGTTCTTGGTTGGAAAGCAACATTTTAGCTGCTCGTCAATAGAAAGGCAGCCATGGAGAACATTTTAATTGGTGCCTTTCATTAGTTAGTGTGAGGTCATCGCCATCATCACGTTTGAAGAAAAAGAAATACTACTGCGAATGAATGTTTAAAAAATAAATCTGGTAATATTTCTGAGTATTTTGAAAGTTTTTCTTCAGAAGTTTTTCTTCAGCGTTTGACTAAATTTTGATATTCTAAAATGGTGGTTCCCAAAGTGGGAGATGGAGCCCCCTTTGGAATATATGAAGTTATGGCACAGGGACTGCAGCAAGTCAGATTAAATTTTTGAATTATGCCAGAGTCGGAACAATTCAGTGATTTGTATTTTTATTTCAGTGTTTGAAAGAGAAGTGAGAATATATGATTTTAGGAACTGAAGTGGATAAATTCTAAATAAATTCAGTGGAATAACTATTGAGCAACAGATGGATAGATGGATAGAATTTAAGAATACATTCCTTCTCTCCTTGGCCAGTATTCTTAAGAAAACAGTTTCACAACGTTAAGTCCAACAGCATGAAACTTTTTACAGTCGTCTATAGGTGTACTGTTATTGACACTAGTAAGTTCCCATGAGATCAATGCTGCTGCTGCTGCTGCTGCTGCTGCTGCTGCTGCTGCTGCTGCTGTCACAATGGTAATGGAGCTGCTGTGTGAGCAGGAAGCTTTGTGCTGTATATAAAGTATTTCCTGTTTAGAAAACATCTTGGTTGTTGGTTGTTTTTCTGAGAGCTGTCAAATGTGGAGGGTCCTGGTGGGACTGCAGTTTGGATTGGTACAATAACAGCGACATGAAAGAAGTTAAGAAAAAAAACTTGACAGTGTTTGGACGTTGGATTGATGAGTACGTTTACAGCCAAATCAAATAGCCTTACTTCCAGGAAATACACTAAACATGGATTACTGGATTACTAATCCATAAATTAATCTGCACACCTGGTGATGTGCAATATTAACAGTGACTCCACCTGGAGGCACGTGGTAAAAACCTGTTCTTGGCTCCATAATATCAGCGCCATCAAAATACATTAATGTAATCTCACTGCTGCTCGTTCTGACCTTGTCCAACTGCATGTAATCAGTAAATGATTTAGTCGGATCAATGTTGATATTGATGATAACTCTGCAGGTCAGCAGAGCCATAGTGTTAAATAATACATTACTATTTCTACCTTATTTAGATTCAACACCTTTTATAATTTAATTAATTAAATTTTTCTGAAATATGATGAAATTTATATTAAAACATCTCAACCTCACAAGCATTTTTTTTCTGTATTTTTAATTACTGTATGTCTGCTGTTTGTGTCAATTAAATAAATAAAAAAACCCATTCAACCATGAGATGGTGTTCCATAGGAGCAGACGCTGGTGAAATCAATTTTTCTTGAGGATTTCAATAAATAAAACAATAAATAATTCAACAGACGGCAATGAATTTAATGATAATGTCTGTCATCCTGCGGGAAAAGACAGCAGTGAAAAAGAAAGAAATGTTCATTAGACACATTTACCTCCTTATAATCGTGGCCACATTAGTCATATTACCAACTGAGTGGTCACATGATCATCCTTGTTGTTTGGTGAGTTTTCCTTAATATAATATATACAGCTATAATTTATGAGGATATCAAACACACTTACCCTGCATGAAGTTTTTTAAGCATAATTTAAGTTTCTGACAAACTACATGTACAGCTTAGTTAGTCTCAGCTGCAGGAACTGAAATCAGCCAAAACTTGTTTCTGTCAAAGTTCAAGGTCAACAAGAAGCAAAGCTTTTCTGAATGTTAACTTTTATTCTACCCCCAGACTTTTTTAAAATTCTCCAACACATTTTTAATTAAACCATAACCTTCCAACCAATGAATGCTATCTATTGTTTTACCTACAAATATCTCTGGGTGACGAGTGACCTTAACGTTTCGCAAACACAAAAAGAGTAAGAACCCACACAAGGTTGTTTTTTTATATTCACACTAAAGGATGTTGATGGTCTGTCACAGTCAGTGTTATTCCTCCAGTAGAAAGGGGTGCTGCATGTTGTTAATTATATTCCAACTTAAAGGGGGGTTTAGAGGGAGGCAGCTAGAACATGACTGATGACTGATGATGACTGCTGGACTGTCAGTCAATATTCTGCGACTTGACTGTCGTTTTATTGGTAACCTGTCAGTCAAACGAAGGCAGGCGTTTGACTGACACTTGCCAGGGATTTTTACTTGTATTCCGAAGAAAAACAATAGAAACATTTTAGTTACATCAAGGTCCAGTCTTTAGTTTCTCAGCGGCCAATCCTGTGACATCACTCTAACTCATCATTTGTGCTGCAGGACATTATTTTCTGTAGCCTCGGTGGTTTATTAATTGTCTTAACAATTCTCTTTTAATGTGAACATGATAAAATGCTAAGATCTGCTTCCTAACTAATAATAGTTAATAAGACCTGACTAGTAATCAGCCGGAGGGTTCATTTACACAGCTTTTAACAGTGCCACAGTCACAGTCAGATATTTAATTAGCTATTGAGAAAGATATTGAATTAAGTTGTTGGAAATTGAAATTACTGCACTAATGCGATGCAGGAGGTTCAAGTGTGCTGATGCACTGCACTTCCCTGGGATGACTGTACTATCGTTTGTTAGAGAGTAAGTCAACTTGATAGCACTGTGTGTATGTGTGTGTGTGTTATTGTTACACATGAATGTAGCAAAAACAGCTCCCCTTTATAACAGAGAAAAAACGACGGCTAAAGTTTTGTTGAAATATATTTTTCAGCCGTGGCTGGGGTTCCTGTCTTGATGACGCTCCGGGAAAAGATAAGTTGTCACTGAACTTGGTGCTTCCTGGAGTCCTGTACACTGCCACACATCAGTGCAGACTGCAGTACGGATCTGGGTCTCGACTCTGCAACGATGTGGATGTAAGTATTAGTTTTTTGTTATCGTCATCTTTAAATTACTCTTAGTATGATGTGCATTTCCTCTTCTTCCTCTCTCTTCATCCTTTTCATCCTGCTTTTTTTTACATTTAATTTTAACCTTAGATGTCCTACGGTAACTAATGCCAAACATTTGTACATTTAGTTTTGTTATGTTAGCAAACACAGGTACATACAAGAGATCAGGGGGGGGTTCTCTGAGGGTACTTTGACTGCCTCCCACAACCCAAAAACAGCTTGGTGGGGGGTTGGTTGATAGTATAAAATATTGTTATAATTATTGATTATTGTTATAAAAATGGGTATAATAACCAAGCGAGGGACAGTGAGCGAGACAGCGCGACAGTAGTCCCAAGTGTCTGGACCACTTTTTAAAATGGCGGAAAAATTGAGCTGGGTTGAGCACTCATAACTACATATTTTCTCATATCAGGAGCAAAATCTTGCAATAGTTGCAGACTCCTAACATGGAATATTTGTGTATACTCAGGGACCTCATATCTAGGGTGTCCACTGTACCAAGTTAATTCAGTCAGACTCACCTTTCACCTGTCCTTCTCATTTGACCTGAAAGAAAAATAGTAAAAACAACTGTCTTGTTGTTGGTTTGGATCCAGGGTCTACTGCATCATCTGCTGCTAGGAAAGGAAAGAAACCAAAAGATGTTGTTCATCGAACTGACAAAATAAACAAAAAGGACAACGCCAAGCTTTCAAGTCATGCAAAAACAGACTGGAAGTAAAAAGTAGCTACACCGCTATCACCTTCTGTCGACTATGGTACAGCTGTAGTTTAACTTAAACGGAAACTAAAAAAAAATCAGACTTCTGACCTTTTCATTTTTGAGCCAAGAACCTCTGACCGCTAACTTAAAGCTGCCTCATAAAACTCCTTGTGACAAGGAGTTCAGTGTTTTTTCACCAGCGTGTTATAAATCTGTACACCTTACACTTGTTTTTTTTTCCTGAGGATACTAGTAAATCCTACACACGTTCATATGGATTTCTACAGACACCACGGTTGCATATAAACTGCTCGAGGAAAATGTGCATGTGTGGTCTGCATCTTTTTAATGGCTCGCTACAGTAATACGAATGTGCAATCAAATTAATATCTAATCATAAAGGAATCTAATCAATGTGGCACTTGACACATGTTGAACCCACAGGACTCTGCAGCTGTGACCTTAAATAATGAACAGCAAGAATTTCATACAATTAACTGGAATTCTTTTGCGCCACACATGACCACTCACGTCTGTCTGCACGGTGAATTGACTTACGATGACACCAGTGGGCTGGCGACTTTTCATAAATACTCTCATTAAAATGTCTTATTTCAGTGTTAAATCTAACTATTACAATAACAGATCTTGCAGTTCCTTTAAATGCAGAGGTAAATTAGGCAGCCATAACTTTTAATTGACCACAAAGTATGAGTGTCAGTGTGAATGGTTGGTTGTCTCTAAGTGTTACCCTCAGATGAACTGCTGAGCCCTCCAGCGTACAGCCCACCCCGACTGATGTATGCTAAGCTTGGCTTCAGGTCAACGTAGGAGGAGAAAGCTAGTGTTTCTAGTTAATTTGTTTCAGTCAAGGTGTATTTTATACGATATGTTCAGTTAACAGTCAACTGCTCTCGGCTTGCTGCTCTAGCAAACAGTGCTGTGAGCCAACATTGAAGAAAAGGCTAAATGTGGTGTGTTGAGCTAGCTGTTTTCACACTGGCTTTACACCAGTTTACTCACCATTTTTTGGTGCGTTGAATCGTAGTGTGTTGTTTAGGGTCAAAACGTATTATCTCCAAGGCATTTTAAGGCCAGATCACGTCTGACCCAGCTGCTACTGTCCTCTGTTTCCACAGGGAAAGCAATGACTCAGTGGCAGCATAATTTTTGAGCTTATCTCTCAATGTGGCAGTTTAATTTTACTTTTCATTTCATTCGTCCTCGGGCGCTGAGCTGCTAAAAGTAAAATTTAATTCTAAACTAGTGAGATGGAGTACATTCAAGCCGTGCTAATTAAAAAAATGTAAATTACAGCCAATACTATAATATTCAACTGAGATACAATCCTGTCCTGCAGAAATGTGGGAGTTGAACTGTCATAGTGTGTTAGCTGTCTTGTAATTATGGTTCCTGAACCAAACGTGGAGTAACGAGTGTACTCGACCTTGACAGTAATAACAGTGAGGTGATTGTTTTTATTTGACCTGAATAGAACCATTATCAGAAATGTTAGAATGTTTCCTGCTTACACAGACAAAGAAGATGTACCCAGGACTGTCCATCAGTCTGTCACTGGGCCGATAGACAAGAGGCAAAAAAAAAACCATTGACACTGTTATTGCAAATAAATCTGGTAGTGCGGACTCTCAAAAGAAAATGTGGCTGGTCCTAATGGAGTGATTGGTTTGTCTATGAACAGAAAATAATAATAATAATAAAACAGTTCTATTTTACAAAATAAGACGAGTCGTGTTTCCCTTGAGGGCTGGCGACCTGAGGTATTACTATGAACATGTGCTCTGAGTTTATTTCTGAGATATGGGAAACTGGCTGATGTTGTTGACTTTGGTTGTGCGATTAGATTATAGGAAACGCATTTAGAAAAGAAATGCTACTGACAGTTGTTTCTAATATTATTATAATCTGTTTTGATTCCAGGCTGATAACATGGTTCTAATGCTGGAATTAGACACTGATGGTGTAAAGAGGAGTTGAAGAATCAGTGCACAGCTGAAGCTGTATAAGTCAAACTGAAAATAACAGAGTGTTTAGAATCGGTCCGTCTCAACATAAACTATTTACAATCAAAACTATTTATAATGGTTCTTTTTTTTTATGCCAAACGCTCACAGCCAGACATCTGTTCCCACTTTCTCTGATACAGCTGAGTCACACACACAGAGTTGTGGATGAAAATGTCGGTGTTCATCAATGTTTTCTTTTTTCTTTAACAACATTTTCTCCTTAACAATTACCTCTTCTCTCCACACAATCAACCTGTCATCAACCAGTGAATTGGCTGCTTGGTTATTGAACATGTGGCAGCGGTGTAATCTACAGAAACGGCAATAACAGTTACAATAGTGACAGTAAGGAGTAGTGAAGAGTGATGGCACGGCACAACAGGCTCACTGATTCATTACTGCCATTCCCAGTGGTCAACAAATGATGTTGGGGTTCACCCAGGTCTCAAAATTGTGGCCCACGGGCCACATCTGTTTTTGTTTTACTGCCCACATCAGGATGTTTACTGTCAGTTAGTTAGGTAATGTGTCGTCACTGGATTTATTTGGTCTAAATATTGTTTTAAATATATCACTTAGATCAGCTGTGGTAACAAATGGTCCAGTGTTGTTAATTGCTTTGTAATAAAAAAAAAAAAACTTTTAGTGACTTAGTTGTTTGTGGTTGTGCAAATTTGTAGTATGAGGTTACTGGTAACTGGTAACTTGGTAACTGTAGTGATCTTTTCTGAAGATACATCAGAGAGTCTAGTTGGCTGTGTGTGAAAAATGAAGGTGTTTGCTTGAAGTGAGCGTTTTGCTATTAATATAAATGTGAGGATCTGCAACTCTGACCTTTAGTTTGATTACATTCATTATGCAAGTTCATCACTTCAAACTGTTATGGCTTCGCCACAGGGAAGCGTAGGTTCACAGAGTGAAAGAGGTTAGTTCACTTAATTCACCATAGTCCACAAAATGGTACAAGTGGTAAAATGCCACCTGCTGTGAATGACACAATCGTGACAATCCAAAGCTGCTGGCAGGAAGTGATCGTTGTAGTCCAAAAGGTGAATCCAGTGCAGCGTGCGCCCCGTGAATGACACAATCGTGACAATCCAAAAACCGAGAACAGAGTTACCATAGAGGTTCATATGAACTACTTTTTTTACACTCTTGATATCCAAAGCTTTTGATGTTTAAACTGTTTCTCTCTTTGAGAAACCACAAAGAGAGTGAATTATCTGTTCCATTCAGTCTTGCTCCCAACTGTACTAGTCATTATTTTTGCATATTTACTCTACTACATAAACTGAAAGGTTTGTCCTTGTGCATATTTTCTGTCAATATGGGTTTTCACAGGTTCCTACATAAAACATTTAAATTTGCACAACTTTGGATTTTGTTTTCATAAACTGTTATATATAGCAGGTAAAAGATAAGCCCATGATCGTTTTCACGTCAAAAACATATTGTTGTGTAATGTTTCTGCTCCAATTACAATGTGTTTTCCCACGTCTACAAATGTCAAGCATAATGAGGAGAAAAAAGATCTGGGCAAATGCATTAGCCAGCCTTGATAAGCAGAACAGTTGACCTTTGGAGGTTTCAAATCTGACACGTTTTTTTCCCTCAGTTTTTTCATTGATTTTTTTTTTTTTTTCCAAGCATGGTCTGTTTGTTTATTAAAGTTTAATTCACTTAGTTCAGTTAGCTGTCGCTGAGGAGTTCCATAATGCATTTTTGTGTTTTTCTTCTGCCCTTTTGCCAGCTCAGAATCACTGATACTCATGTAGGTTAGAACTGCTGAGTTCTTCACCATTATCACTGTGCTGCAGACCATAATGTTCAGAACTGTGGCATGTCGAAGTTTAAATATCAATAAACTAATCTTCTCAGATCAATTGATATTGACTGGCTCCAAGTCAGGGCTAATTTCTGCAGGGACAAAAACAAGTGACATGGGAAACACAACCATTGCAGTGAAACATGTATAAAATAAATGTATAATTTGAAAACAAAATAGGTTTGTGCCAGTGGTAGGATGTTTGGACTTCCTGATAAAGGAACGTGCTGAAAGCAGTGATTCTTCTTCTCATTTAAAAACAAGGCAGTGAAATGCAGTAAATACCTTCAATGGTAACAGTTATTTCAGGTGTTAACTAATCCACTGGCTTTATAGTGAAAAACGTTCCCTTCTTCTTCTTAGTTTTTGTACTTGACCTCGGAAAAACCCTTTATTTTTTCTTTGTTAGAATGTATGCAGCACGCTGTGGTGCACAGTGGGAACAACCTGTCACTCAAAGCTGGATGGAGCGGCGGATGGAACCAGCTGTGGTGAGAACAAGGTACAGTTTTTATATGTTTACCCCTTCATATCCCTAGGACAGGGCGTATTTTGATACTGTGATGAAACAGCTGTTCATGTTTGGTTTCCTACAGAGACGGCACGTAGTTCTCAGGGTTTCTACTGCTGCTTTCACCATACATGTTTTGTTTACAGTGATGTTTTAGGGAAAATGTGGCAACATGGCCGACATGAGACTTTTATTACACAATGTTGCCTTTTCCACACAGTCACTTTTGTTGACAGTAAAAAAACAAACAAATGAAAAAATGTGTCACAAAAACATCCGATTGGTTTTGTTAACATGACAGGACAGAACCCAATGGAATTGACAGTGCATTGAATTCACTGGAAAAAAGGCCAATACAAACAGTGGTTCAAACTGTCCTGAGGAAATTAAGATAATGTCAATTAGGGAGTTTCAACAGCATCATGTATCGATTTAATCCTACGGTTCTAGACATGCAGGTACCTGCTGACAAGACCAGAAACAGACAAAACAACCAGGAGTTATTTGGTACTTTGTATTTTATACACAATAAATCAGAAGGCGTGAGAAAGAAAGCTAAATGCATTACCGGAGTTCCCTCAGCAGTCTAGGCCCGTAGCACTGCATCTAGGCTCAACTTCACTGTTGGTCTGAACCGGTCGTCTTTTTATTACATTGATTCAATGTAATCAATAGTAATAACCTTAAGAAGCTTGATGATAAAGCATCTTATATTACACCACAAAAGTACCAGTTTGTCCTTCTGTAAAATAATATTTTGCAGATTCAATATAAGGTATTTATAGCAATATTGAACTAAAAAAATAAATTGGTCTTTTTTTATCCCACTTTTAGCCCTAATTTTTTATAGTCTCCTAATAATCACTTTTCCTTAAATCCTTACAGATTCTATTAATACAAAACATGCAGTTCAGACTGAAACCCCTGCACAAGTGATGTTCATAATTTCCAAACAGCTGAGTTATAAAAAAAGCAAATTGATTTTTTTTAACCCATGTTTTAATCCAGTGGTGTTTCAGCGGGGAGTGTGTCTCACTGGGAGTTTTTCCTGAGAGTGTACACGGAGGCTGGGGATCATGGAGCGACTGGACGGCCTGTTCAAGGACATGTGGTGTTAGTGTCCGCAGCGCTCAACGAGACTGTGACAACCCAACGTAATCTTGAATATACCGTGCATGTCGAATTTTTGTAACGTCACACAGTTTGGATGAAATGTGTCAATGAGATGTGTTGATACTTAGTCCTCTGGCTGCAGTCCTAGGCACAGAGGAAAGTATTGTCTAGGAGAACGACGGCGGTATATGATCTGTAAGATGGCGCCTTGTCCTCAGGACACACCCAGATTCAGAGACGTCCAGTGTGGTCACTTCAACAACCTGCCGTACAAGGGCAAGTTCTACCGATGGGAATCTGTCATCAATAAAGGTGAGACGTTCCTGGACTTGTCAGTGATAAAACCACCGCAGCACATGTCCATCCTCGTTCCAGCTGTTCATTTTTTTGTTTTCCATGTGTCTCATTATCCCCCCCACCAGTCAGCCCTTGTGAACTGCACTGCCGTCCACTGAACGAACACTTTTCTGAAAAGATGCAGGATGCCGTCACCGATGGCACACCATGCTACGAAGGCAACAAAAGCAGGGATTTATGCATCAATGGCATCTGTAAGGTACTTCACTTGTTTTTCTAAGGCAAACACGGTCTGGTCAGTGGTTTTTCTGTTCAGCTCTGTTTCTCCACACTAATATTATTTTTCTCTCTCTTAGTCATGATTTGTAATTAGATGAGCTTCTTCTCGTTCTGCCACAGGAACATTGTGCGTTTGACATTCTCTGTGAAAATGACTTGTTGATTAAAACAAAAATTGCAAAAGCTCTTATCTGCCAAGATAACTGGCCTATCACCCAGGGCCAAATGCCACTCACCGTCTGGACAGTGTTCACTGGCCATAGACTTGGCTTCATGATATTGTCTGACATTTCTTCTGACAAGAACCCGTATAAACTGGTTACCACGACAGCCAAGATAAACACACCTCGATACAAACTGTAGGACAATGTTAAAATCATGTTTCAGTGCAGCTCTCTCCACAGTTGGACCACAAGTCATGTTTTTCTTTTTTAATTGATCTTGAGAACTCAATCAGAGCTACACGTGTGTGTTGCAGAACATAGGCTGTGACTATGTGATTGACTCGGGCGCTGTGGAGGATCGCTGCGGTGTGTGTCATGGTAATGGCTCAACCTGCACAACTGTGAAGAAAACATTTGAGGAGAGTGAAGGAATTGGTGAGATATGTTTTATTACTCATTATGATTCAGGTCTGTTCACAGGAGACTTGTTAATCCCCTGGTTCCCACTGCTTTTCTGCAGCCTCCTCCCCTGCCTCCATTATGCAAATAGGACTATTGTGCAACCCCATGACATGCATGAGTCCACTGAACGTCTGGAAAGTGAAAACACTGTGATACCAAAAAAATAAAAAAAAGGAAAAACCTGTACTGAATAAAAATACATTTCCAGATCAGTACAATCTTAAAACAAAACCCATGCTGTCCATCCATGAAGTACCCCCACCCCCATCATTCCCTCCCATTTTAGGAACCACTGTCTGAACGTTATTGTAGGAAAAGGACATTCATCTCTATTAAAAAGATACACTGGTAGATTAAATCTCTATTTGGAGCTTTTGAATATGTTTTTGCCCTAATAAGTGAACTTTTCTTTTACATCTAACTTCAATTTACCTCATAAGCCTATAGGTCAAATAGTGAGAAAAAAGTGTTTTGTACAAATGCATAAAGAATGGTTTCCTTTGACCTAATAACATAATAATTATAGAACTGTTATTTTAGCTGATATTTCCACAGGATCTTTGTACATTTTATTTCCCTAAACTGTTACCTAGAGTACTACCCTTTAAAGATCAAATTATTATTGAATATGGATTATAAAGACAAGTGTTTGGTCATAGGTCAAACAGGTCAGTTAATACATAATGTTAAAAGAGGCTTTAACTCATCTACTCAATCCATCTTTACCTTTATTTGCCCCCAAAAACAAATGGTTTTTCAGACATGTAACAGAGACAATAGAGGCAATGTAAGACAAATGACAAACAGTGAAGTATATATAATATTATATACTATATGATATATATATGATATATGTATATATATATATATATATGATATATGATATATATATACCAAAATAGGTAAAAATAAACATAGCCTTAGCTAAAAACAAATAGAGGGTTTAAAAAAAATCACGTCATGAACAACATCATAACTGATTTGAATTCAGCAGAGAAATTCGTCTCTAAATCTATTGGGTTTTTTTACAGAATCTAAAACATAACCAGGAGGTTAATAACTATCATTGTGAACTCTAGCTGCAACTAGATACATTTGAGAAATAAATCTAATACAAAATAGCTTTTTATACATGTATTTATGCAAATGTATTTGCAGAAAATCTGAGTTACCCATCTGTGGGTCCACTCCTGTCTCTGGGAATGACTGATCTGCAGCGTTCCACAGTAAATCTGTTTTAGCAATGCGCACTCTTTTGATCCCTCGGCCAGCTGAATAATAAAACCAGTGTGATCAAAGGTGCCGTGCATTGCTGTAGTGGTTCTTCTTTGCATGACCCCATCCTGCTGCCTCTGCGCTCCTTATTATCAGCACTGCACACTGGTATATGACGTGTTCAGTGTTCTGAGTCCAGCGAGAAAACCAATCGGCCTCACACATGCAGAAACAACTCTACTCTGAGTTGTATTATCTGCAGCAGAAGGCTGTTTGTTTACTGCTGCAGTCTCCTGGAGTACGCTGTGCTGAATTTAAATGTGACGTTTACTCTGCTAATAGAAAACTCGTCCTTTTTATGAGTGCTGGTCATGATCTTATTAACAGACAAGCTTTAAAATGAAATATTCAGAGTTGTGCCTGTTTTCAATTCTCGCTTTTGCTGACTTGCTGAGCAGCTAATAATAATAATAAGTTCTCCCTTTTTCCAAAGGGCTTCTGTTAATAGTTCAGAGAGATGTTTACCTCTGGGTTATTTTTATTAGAAATGTCCGCTCTAAAGCAAACATCAATGATATGTTTTATCACAATCTGCTTTGTTACTGAAAACATGGTTTTGGTGGACGTTGTATCCAGTATGTGGTGTTTTTTCAGCATCAATCTTTTCATAATCATGCCTGAGTGTGTCTTCATGTAGTTTGACATGTAACTTCACCAAGTCAACTTTTGTGTTCAATCAGGGACGACTAATTACTGTCTCAAACGAGTTCTAGTCACCAGACGTTACACTTCAGCGTGACTCACCTGAGCTGTCCCATCTTCTAGGTTATGTTGATATCGGACTGATCCCAGAGGGAGCCAGGGAGATCCGGATTGAGGAGGTGGCTGAGGCTGGGAATTTTTTGGCGCTAAGAAGCGACCACCCCGGGAAATATTTTTTAAATGGTGGTTGGACAATCCAGTGGAATGGAGAGTACAAGGCTGCTGGAACTGTGTTTACCTATCTGAGGGTTGGACACCTGGAAAACCTGACCTCTCCTGGGCCAACGGTTGAACCTCTGTGGATTCAGGCAAGAATAGCTCTTTAAAATGTTGTTTTAAAAAAATGAGCAATTACTACAGCGTTTTGTCGACAATTCAAACAAAAAGGATGAGTCCATTCCCACTGCAGTAAATGTCGTCACATGACCCTCCGTGTTCTACAGCTTCTATTTCAGGAGAGTAACCCAGGAGTGAGGTATGAGTACACAGTCAGTCAGACTCTCTCCCAGGACAAGAACTCAACTCTGTCAGCCTTCTACTGGAAACATGGATCATGGAGTGAGTGCAGTGTCACCTGTGGGACAGGTGAGTAAAATAACCAGCTCTACGTTTTGACAAAAATAAATAAATAAATAAACATACAATAGGGAGAGAGAGAGAGAGAGAGACGTGTTAAATATTCACGGCCAAGTTAAACAACAGGAACTTCAGAGTCGAGAAAACAGACTTTACCACAACTGTTTCTTAGTGATGATGGCTGACAGAAGAAGTATAAAACAAAACTGAACTGCAGCCTTCTGCTGCAATATAAAAAAAAAAGTTTGGAAACCAAGAATTCCAACGATGACCAATGTCTTATTTTTGTTTCTTGTAAAGTCAGGTTGTTGCAGGGTCAGGGGACTGCAGCCGTGGGGGCCAAAGGTCTGGTTCTCTGAGGTTCATTTCTCCAACGACTTCTCTTTATTTTCTGGTTCCATGAGTTGAAGCAGTTGATTGAGACACAAGACATGGTGCAAATCAAACAAAAATATAAGATATACATTATTGATAATGTGAAATATATATAATTTTAGACAAAAAGAAAACAGCCGTGCATATTTATCAAATGCTTTTTATTTAATATATATATATATAAATCTCCAGCTCCGTGATCTTTAAGACTAAATTGACCAGTAAACCAGTATGTTCTGGTCAACCTTGTGTTTAACAGTAGCTGTGGTCACAGACGAACACATCATTCTGATAAAGTGGTCACTTTCTATGACACTTCACTGTTGCAGTCTTTTGTCTCATAAGCCTGAGGAGAACGAGCAGCATGTCCTCGGTGATGTCCTGAACGCAGGCACTTAAACCTAATGATTGTACTAATTACTGACTGAAGCCCAGTACGTGTAGGAACCAATCAAGGTGAAATCCTGGCAGCAGTCGATTGTGCTGCTGGTCGTTCCTTTTTTTTTTTTTTTTTTGGTGATGTGTCAACATCTTTTATGGACAAAAGCTCAATTTCCTTGCCGTGATTGACGTATGGAATGTAAAAGCATGTGGTGCTGTATGGCTGGGCTGTAAATCATTTTGGAAGCAATCATTGTTTGAGCAAATCTGCATCACAACACAACGACCTACTGGATGTGAGTCAGAGACGCTTTCAGTCACTTGTCACAGGATTAAAATTGTCTTTTCAATCTACTTCCCTCTCCTTCAGGTTGCTAAACAACAGTGGATTTTCTCATATAAACACTGTTTTTATGCACAATATGTCATCCAGTCATATTTGGTATTTGATACTAAATAATATAATATTATTGATTTTCTTTCTACAGCCTAACCTGACAGATATACACTTACACTAACCTCTTAGATCAATAAAATGTTAATTATTTTATAATAGATTGTCCATGTTGTAAAATAATATAATATTAGGATCAGTGCAACCAGTTGTGTTGTGATTATGGTTCAAAAATCTGAACAGGAACGTTTTCTCTTATGTTCGCCACTGTTTATTTTTAGATTTATTTATTGACAGCTGGTGAAAGTAGTTTGGTCACAGCTTAAAATCTATAAAAGTCCAGATGTAGATGAAGACACGGAGGTGAAACTTGTTGCAACAAACACCTCAGAGTTGTAATCCCTGCAGTGTGCAGTGTGTGATAAACAAGATTTACATTTCCTGTCATATCATATGCTGGTGTCTTGTTGTGTCAGCCTTTTGCTTCACTTTAATGAGGCGCCTGTCAGATGAATTTGGTTTGGAACAATCTGTGTTTTATGTATTTTTTTGATAATTGTATGTTCCCTTTTCTTTTAGTTCACACTAGCACATCAAGAGACTTCACTCATACCTTTCAAATGCACAAGATCACATCATCTACAACATAAATATGACTGAGCAGCTGAAAGAGCCGTGCAGTCCACACTTGGTCTTTTACCTTTTATCTTCTTTGTTCTATCTCCTTTATCTTACACCTTTATCTTCTACATGTTTGAAGGTTGAATGGTCTTCTCTCCTTGTGGTAGACACTGACATCAGTGTTTTTGTAGTTCGTCTTATCAAACATTAATATAATTTGCTGCCTCAGATCTGGAGTTGGCATGTCCTTAACACTGTGTGGGTTGATTTTCATCTGGTGCCCTCCCTCCCCTCAACCAATAATGGCTGGGATTGCCTCAAGTCCCTCCCACATCCCTGAAGAGGTAGAATTGCTGCTTTGGTAATAATGATAACATTTGAAGATTAAAACCTTTTACACGACTGAACTGAATAGAAAAAGTCCCTGATATAGTCCTGTCCTGTCCTCTCCTGCCCTGTCCAGCCCTGTCCTGTTCCCTCTGTCCCACTGTCCTGTCTAGAAGATGAATGTCTGCTTGAATCAGGGATCTCAAACCCCCGGCCCGTGGATCACCCACATTCTCATCTTTTTGACAGGACCAGAGGTTTATATGCCACAGTTCTCCGCAGTGGGAGTCAATCCACACCACACATTCATTAGACATTGTTAAAATGCAACTGAATATACAGTACGCTGCTGTCTGCAGGGATGTTAGTCCTGCCTCCCCTGTACACAGTGATCACAGATTGTTTTTGCCTGACTCAGGCAGTGTTTTTGTTGGTCTGTGTGCTCTGATGCTGACCAGCTGCCATTGGCAAGGAAAGGTAGACTGTGTTTGAGCTGGAGCTGACCTGTGGGTCTCCAAGCCAGAAGAGTTCAGAGGAACAGCACTTCCTCATAACTGTTCACCTACGCAGACAAACTCTGAATAATTACCTTTCCAGTAGCAGCAAAAACAATCTGTGCTGCAAAAAAGAAATAAGAGTTAAAAACTATCAACCAGAGAAAATGTAATAAAATGCAGGATTCAGAGATGAAGAGGTTAGGCTTAGTTATTTGTCATAGTGAAAGTGTGTGCTTCACTGATAACAACAACCTGCAACAACAACAACTTTATCCTGTTTGGCTTTATCGCTCCAGATTCAACACAGTAAATCATCTTGAAAACGTCCAGCTGGTACCAGTTATTGGAGTAGTTTTATTTTATCATCATTTTCATATGTTTTTTTTTTTTTTAATTCTTGATGATTATGGAGCATCTTCATCATCAGAGGCGTTTCTTTCACCTCTTATTTTTGCAGGTGTTCAGAGGCAGATTGTACACTGTGTGGAGAAGACCATAGGGATAGTGGAGGAGCACTTCTGTGACCCAGAGACACGACCTGATGACAACCAAACCAGCTGTAACAGGGATCCGTGTCCAGCCGTGTGAGTGCTCACGATGCACAGAATGATAGCAGCATTGTTTTTCATCTGCTGCTGCCGTGCACTTTGTAGACAACAATCCAGTCAGGGTTAGATAAACAAAAGTAGCTGAGGTTTAGTTTATGATTGTATGCAGACACAAATACATCTCACACTGTGTTTTCATTTGTGTGTATGATGTGTGACACTGTATCTTCAGTCGATGCTTCATTCTCACCCTGCCAGGGTCAAGTCTGTCTACTCACACTTGAATCCTCCGTTTAAAAAGAAGAAAGAAGTTTGATAAGAAATGTCTTTGCTCAAGTTCAACCAAAAATAGTTTTACTTTATTTTGTGTCGCCCAACAAACATCAAACAAAAGTTCACCTTCTGAAAGATTTCGTAAAGTAAATAAAAAAGTGCAAGGATGTTTGCCTTACAAAGACGGGCGTATTTGAGGTGTTTCATCTTCTTAAAAATAAACTACTATTCATCAGTGGAAAAAGCAGAAATGGATTGATGGTCACAGGAACACAGTGGTTAGTACTGTTTACAGTAGAACAATCATCGGTTCTCTCAATCCACAGTCTTGTTGTTAGGACTTTGCACATTCTTAGTGTGTTGTGTTTTTTTTCATGCAGATTGGAGGTTAATAGGTTAACAGGTCAACATAATTGAATAGAAGCTTCAGGGTAAGTGTGAGTGGTTGAATGGACTGCTGAAGTTCAGTCACTGCTGGGTTTGGCTGCAGCACTGCACCACCCTGAAGACGATGAAATGGTAGAAGGTGAAGGACAGAAGTGGGGAAAAAAAGACGGACACAAGCTTGGGATTTTTAATCACAAACAAATAAAATAATTTATTTTACATGCGTGTTATTTTGTAGCGGTATAAATGAAATTACACTTTTCACACCTCGAGCCAGGAGCTTAGTTAACAACACTGCACAGTTTTATTTTTTATTATTACTGCACACATTTATTTCGGGCAGTTGTGAGAAACAACTTATTATTCAGGAGTGCCGCTCCTGCACATCAAACACCATGACAGTAATAGTGCAGCACAGCTGGCAGGTTGCTGTAGAGAAACCAGGTAACTTTTCCTGAGATATTTTTACCCCCACACATTAAATGCATCAAAGGGCAGCTTGTTAACCTGTGGCACAGACCACGAGGAGACGGGTGAGCCCATTCTCTTGTTTAATATGTTTAAAAAGTCTCATTCAACTGATTAGAAATTCTGGACGTTGCTAGACTGTCGCTCAGTCTGTGACAAACTTTCTATTTAAAACATTAACATTAACTTTTTCAAAATGATTTTTATTGAACGCTCATTTAGCTGACTGATTTAAAGGCCACTATTTAATGTGCGTAGCTGTGTTATATAATCCCAGGTCAATAAGCTGCACAGCGTCAGCTAGTCCTTGGGTCTCTTTCAGCTATATTTCAGCATTTCACATTACTGCAGTAGTATTGTCAGACAAGTTGTTATACTACAGTGAGTACAGTTCAAGAGAATCTTTATGAGAAGCATTCATTGTACTATAATGATGTAGCAGCAGAGTGTTCACACCCTCTCATCAGTCAAGGCAACATTGTTGTTTGGATGTTGTTTTCTGCTTCTGTTTGTGACTTATTATTTTGTTGCACAATTATTTGGCCACATTTTTCAGACTTTTATATCCAGCCTGCTGCAGATCCAGGTGCATGACATCGATTATTTCTTCATGAAAAGAATGAGAAAAGTTTTCAATGATAAAGCTCCTCCTTGACAATTGAAAATAATAATTTTAAGAGCAAAACACATTTCACCATATGAGTGTGAGTGTCAATAATAATGTGATCTCTTCCCACATTACACGGTCTGCCCAGTGTTTTCCAACACATGAATGCAGAGTGAAGCAAACGGTATATCCAATAATTCCACCATTCCTGCGCCTACAGTTTTGTTCCTCTAATACAGCAACAAAACTGTTTATTTTCCTGATGTCATTCACACACACTGCAGCAAATGCATCGTTTCGCCCTTAAGCACCTGAAGCTTAAAATACCATGTCAATGCACAGCATGCATTTCTGGATGCTTTGACTTAAGGTGGAAGTGTCAAATGGAGGGAGGAGACTGTAGACTGATTAATCTTGTTGTGGACAAGGACTCCAATGAAGTCTTCATGGGTTCTAGGAGCCACAGTCAAGTGTCACAGTAATGACGAAAATCAGTTTAAATTAAATCTTGAAGTTAGACTTTTTCATACGTCTTCCATATTAATAATTCCATTCTATTGTCAATTATCTATCTAATTGAAGCAACTTGTATTTATTTTGCTGTTTGTTTGTTCAGATGGTGGGTTGGAGAGTGGCACAAATGTTCCGTGAGCTGTGGAGACACAGGTCTGGCTAAAAGGACAGTGCTGTGCATCCAGGCAATAAGTGTGGAGGAGCAAAAAGCTCTGCAGCCCAGTGAGTGTGAGCACATCCCCAAACCTGAGTCAATAATCCCCTGCAACACAGGAATACTCTGCCCAGCGGAATGGACCAGTGGGGCCTGGTCTAAGGTGAGTCTGTGGAGTCGATGTCTGCAATAGGTAAAAGAATTTGCTGTTTACATCCTGTTTACTGTCACATGAAGTTTATACATAATTAGGAATTCCTGACAGATTACTTCCAGTGAAGTTAGTGAAACTAGAAAGTCAGGGTTCCCTGATTATCAACTTTTACAGATAAGAAATAAATCTTGCAGATTCCTATAATTTAAAGGAAGGAGAGAAAAGAGTTTGAAGGCATTTTTGCAGCAACAGCTGTCTTTACTAATCTGCTGCATCTCCTCATTGTTTGCCCAACTTCACAATTCCAGTCAGTGTGGAACTGAGAGAGAGAAAGACGAACATACTGGCATGGTGTAACACACGTCTCCTGTAAGATTAAAACTATTCAGTTGAAAGACATTTTCTATCCCGATGTCTGACCACAAAACTAAAGTGTCAGGCGTTTGAATCCTCAGAGTGAGAGAAGTTGTAGAACGCAAATGTCTTCACATTTTGGCAGCTTTGAGTTCCAACGAGTGGATTTAATTTTGTCTGGATGGTTCTGGGGTTTTTAGGCAGTTACTGCTCAGTTGGGAGGCTTAAAAGTCTAGGTTTTTTATAACTCTTCTCCGGAGATGTTGTGAAACACATTTGATCACATGTTTAAGATCATTGTAAAATTCCAGGACCCGAGTCAGACAGATGGAGCTGCTGGTGCAAATACTCAGATTCAGTCTTCTTTGTTCTTCTGCAGTGTTCAGTGACTTGTGGAAGTGGTCTACGCCGCCGGGATGTGAGCTGCTCAACAAAAGAAGATTTTGACTGTGACCCCCAGAACAAACCACCGACTACCAGCACCTGCCAGGTCCAAGACTGTCCCGTGGTTGTGGACAATTTTGGAGGAACCGACTGGTCTGGAAGTGGATGGCCCAGCAAAGAAGTGTTGAATGAGATCAACTCCATCCCTGAAGCCAAACCCCTGCCCAAATACAGCACCACCAGAGCCCAGCCCAGCACCCACAATAACCTGAATGACATAGTTGAGGGAGATTTTCATTTCCATAATAACATTGAAAATGGTGATCAAAGTAAGGTTCATGTTGATGATTTTTATTATGACTACAACTTCATCAATTTCCATGAGGACTTGTCAGCTGATTTTGACAATGATGAGAATGATTCAGGAGACAGTCACGGTCTTTCAGAGGAGGCAAATAAAAATGAAAATGCTAACATAGACATAGTTGGTGCTCCAACAACAACTCCAGCTATTTCTGCTGCCTACATGACAAACACTGAGGAGCCCCAGAATACAAATCATGTCAAGGTAGAGCACAGTGGGAACACGGCCACAAATGAGTCTGTCCAAAGAAACTCTGAAAACTTGGGTGACTTTCTTCATGAGGATCTTCTCCTGCCTGTGTCTACCACCCACTCCCCCACGTCGTCAACCACTGGGCATTCCCCAAAACCGAAGCAGATACATGAGATTGTGCGATGGCCTGAGAACAGGAGCACGTTGTCTCCTCCGGAGTCAACTACAAAGGAGGCTTCACAGGATGTGACATGGGAGCAGTATTTGGATGAGACTGAAAATAGCTACAGATATTTTCCTGAGGAAAATTCCACTGACAATGTCACGCTGACACCAAACCATGATGCTCCTACTCCTATTTACCATACAATTGTTAGTACCATTGGTGCTTCACCAGTTAATACTCAGGAGAAAGGCCTGAGTGATGTCTATGATGAGTACATCTACAACGATCTAAGTATGTCAGGTCAGGACGTTTCTGTGGAAGGTACAGAGAGATTTGTCACTCCGGCAGGAGTCCAGCTGGAGGACACCGCTTCAGAAATACCTCAGTCGACCCTGTCCACAACTACCTTCAAGTTGGATTTTAGTTCAGTATATGAAGTTAACAAAGGTAGTCCATGGGGTTCGGACCATCACCCGAGTGAGACTTCACTAACTTCCACTCAGAAAGCCACTCCTCTCACTTTTCCTTTTCCGGAAATCTCAGGTAATCGAGAGACCTCTGATGGCTCAGTACTATTGACTGGAACAGAAACCATACCTCTTACAAACCAGAAGGGGGCATCTCAGTCATCCTCAGATGATTTACCATCAGAGATGGAACAGGTACCGGCTCGAACGTCCATGAACATAACAACTGGAACAGACTCTGACTCCAAACCTCAACTTTTTGATGTGAATGAATTTGACTTCAATGAGATTCTTCTTCCTCCGGTGGTGAGCAGCACCAGCAACAGTGAGCCTGATCTTTCTGCCTCAGCAGTCACAACTGAACCTCCCATGACTCCTGTCAAACTCACAGACCCATCAGCACCTGCCATGCTCCCCCAGGCAACTCCTCCATCTACTCTGAGGACACCTTCTGTTTCAACAACCACCCCAACATCAACCCCCACACGCTTCAAAAATGCTGCCTACTGGGTCACGGGCAACTGGAGTGCTGTGAGTCTGTTCTGATCCCCACATTCTGAGCTCCAGCTGTTTCTAGTTTTTTTTTGCTTTGTCTGCAGCAGCCTTTTATTATGCAGATGTAAAATCCTGCACATTTCTCTAAACTCTTTGTAGACAACATTTTTCCTTGAGCAGTTGCAACTGCAATCAATTTATGCTACGAATGTTGGTGGCACTTTTGAAAGAAATCTGCCTCCATCATTACCATGCTAGGCTGTGTGTGTAACTCCTAAATTGCATGCATTTTGTATTTACATATATGGATGTTTTTTATGATTATTAAGTCCATTTTCGTGTCATGTGAGTGGAGAACAAAGTAACGTTTTAATTCATTGTCCCTCTTGTTCCTACATCTGTGGCCAGTGCTCCACCAGCTGTGGTCTCGGTGCTGTCTGGAGGACACTAACCTGTAGCACTGGCTCAGACTCTGACTGTGATCCAGCTCAGAGGCCGGTCCCTGCCCAGAGGTGTTACCTACGGCCTTGTTCAACTTGGAAGGTCGGAAATTGGAGTAAGGTGAGGGCCTCGGAAAAACAAATATTTATTTTACTGTTTCACATCTTTTAATCATAGTCAAACAGTCAGGAAATGTAATGTCTTTGTTATGTGGTCAAATAAAGTTGTGAATGGTTTTTCTTTGTACATTGACATTATATAAAACATTCACACTGATACACTGAACTGTGTGGGCCTTACTTCTACTAGCTAGTTGCTACTAGTTGCCTCATCATTAAGTTCTGTTCTCTTTTTTCCCTCAGTGTTCGAGAAATTGTGAGGGTGGCAATAAATCAAGAGAGGTCCAGTGCATTGACCTTCGGGATCAAAGGCCACTGCGACCTTTCCACTGCCAGGCCGTGTCCTCCAGGCCGCCGACCCAAATGTACTGCAACATCCAACCATGTCTCGACTGGTACACCTCTTCCTGGGGTCCGGTGAGTAACGTAATGAAGCAAAAAATAAAAAACGCGATGCTATACAGAATATTTTCAAACCTGGGGGATATTGAGAATGCGAATCAGATGTTACAAGTGAGGACATGAATATTTATTTTGTTTATTCTATTTTATTTTCTTACTATTTGTGTCTTCTTGGATATTGCAAGAACTCTACATGTATTTAGAATTCCGGGCAGGCAGCCATATCACATCAAGTCACGAGCAATGTGCACAACAACGAAAAAAAAACATGCACAAACTAAGTTAACAGAAGACATCCGTTAGCTTGCTGTTATAGAAAGATTTGACTGACTTATCTTTTTTTTAAACTCTATTTTATTTTTTATTTCGGTTTTTTGAACGTACATTCTTGCATCGGCCTGGTGAGGTCATTTCAGTGCACAAAGAAATTGACTTGCAGAGAGACTGTTATTGTTATTTATTTATGTGTGTGGGTTTTTCTGGGCTGCTGCTTTCATTTGGATGGGCAGCTCTGAGGCTTACACTATTCTAACAGACCTTCACTCTATTCCCAAGTTGCTGTGTGGGAACCCGAAGAGAAATGAGTCTCTGCAATTGAGCTATAATGAACAGAAAACACTGGCTTCTCCTGGATTGTTGCTTTTAGAATTGCTTTGAATCAGAGTTTAGCTACAGAATGGCTCGGACATTCCCACAACAATCACTATGTACTTCTACAATCTGTGTAAGCTAGGTGTTTTCTTATTGTGAATTCAATTGCATGCGTACGTGTGTGTTCAGTGCTCTGAAGTTTGTGGAGGAGGCGAGCAGCAGCGTATTGTCACATGTCTAGAAAAGGAGCGATGCAACAGTGACCTTCAGCCCAGCACCATCCAGTCATGTAACAGCCAGCCGTGTGCCCAGTGGCTCACTGGATCTTGGGGACAGGTAGAATACACACACACACACACACACACACACATATATACATGCTGAAGAATGATAAATCCTGAGGTCATTAATTTACTGCTTCAACCAGAGTACCAGAAGGACTGTAATTAACACTGGATAAACAGTTCCTACCAATCTATAAGAATTATTAGTCTGTCAGACTAAATGAATGCTGGAACCACAGTTTTAACTTGTATCAAATGTATCAAATTGAAATTTGTAACCCAGTTTAACACACAAGCAGCAGGACACACACGTAATAGTCATTACATCCTGCAGCCACTTGTGGTTCTAATACACAGGCTGTCAGTAACACAGACTGTAGGGATTCATTTCACAAAGTAATAAATGATGGCATAGTTCTAATGTTGATTTATAACACATAACACAGAAGATTATAGCCGGTTATTTGCTTCATTTATCAACATCATTCTCAACATGACATTGTTTATTTTTAGATTTATTTAAAAAATCCAGGGAAAATCCATGCTTTAAGGTTCTGACAGGGGAAAACTGTATGTCAAAATTGTGTTTCTTGTTTACTAAATCAAAAAGCTGCAGGCAGTTTTGTTTTCATAACATTTTTACATCCAGAGTGCAGAATCTGGAATCGAGAATCAATATGAAAGTGTTTCTTAAATTACCACCAGCGTATGCTTCGCTGCACACAGTCGAACTCGCACATCTCTACAGCAGCATCAAACATGTAAGACAGGATTTCTGATTTATTCAAGATGTAATAATGAGAGTATTTCTACCTCACCGTGGTGCTGTGAACATTTCCCTAAAACAGCCCAGTGTAGGTGGTTCAACCGTCAGGACCAACAACTGTCAGTCTTGTAATGTGTTGAAGTGTCATCTGTCTCTGCACAAACATGAACTCTGTGTCACTGTGATTAAATGTCACAGACTCAAAATGCATCCTAAAAGCTGCAGACTGCAGCAGTGTCTGGTAATAATAGACCAGGAGCAGCTTCACACTTCCAAATGCAGATTTATTTCACTACCCTGTACAATTATAGTTGTTGTAATATATATATATATGTACATCCTTTATCCTTTTAGCAGAAATCACACTCACACAGATTGCTTATCATGAGTTAAGCTTAAAGAAATCAATGCATGTAAATGCATAAAAACTCTGGCTCACAGTGGTGGCTGGAAATCACGCATTTCAAACAATGTAGGCACTTTGCATGGGGCTAAGACCAGTATTACTGCAGCCTGTACTTCAATGTATACTAATGTAAGGAAAATGGAATATAAAAAATAGGGACAGAAAAAGCAGACTTGATAGAACCAAGGTTATTTATGTCCACTGTGTACTTCTAGTTGGAAGTGAAAGTGTTACAATGTTTCATGATCATGACTGTGGACCACAGCGGTGACCAAAAAGAAGTTCAACTCCTTAAACTGGTGTAAGTGTTTTATGTGATGTTGTTCAGCTCTAGCTACAGTGTGTACTGTATGAGATCAAGGCTTCAGCACGAAAAACATCAACACATTTCAATTCAAAATCTGAATCATAGACCAGCACTGGAATGTATTTTTTATCACTCTACGCTTCTTTCACAATTCTTCGTGCAGTGTTCAGCTTCCTGTGGAGGTGGTTTACAATACAGACTCATCAAATGTGTCAACACCAAGGTGGAAATGGAAGAAGAAGTGGATCAAGCTTCATGTGCCCATGATCCAAAGCCTGCAAGCAGCCTGAAGTGTAACCTGCAGGAGTGTGACACTGCCTCCACTGGTGAGTAACTGAACACGAAAATTGGTTTGACACAAAAGAATTTGAAAAAAAAAGCCAACCACTAAAAGTATTTGATGATCTTTAGTCTTTTTTAGTCCAGTTATTCATCTAGGTATCATTGAAGCTTATTAAAAGACACTGTCAGGATGCACCATAATGACTAAAACCCAAGTTCTACTTCTGCATATTTGCCTTGACATTTGTCCATATTATTAATTCCATCATTTGGATTAGTCATAAATAAAAACTGGTTTAAAACACATACATCCATCTGTTGTTATTTGACCAGGTCAAAAGGTCAAATATGTCTCTCAACATATGAATATGAATATGATATTTTGTCCCTTATCTAATGAAACAGATTAATTAGACAGACACCAACAGAAAACAGACATCAGTGTGTGTGTGTGTGTGTGTGTGTGTGTGTGTGGCAAGGGGCCTTGAGATAACACACACAGTTCCAATTAAAAAGTTAGTTGTACAGTATATTGGTGTCCTTTCTCAGCTGTTTTGAAACATGTCAGACTGTGGAAGCATTCCATCTCCCAGGAATCTCTCAGGGCTTCCTGTAATGACGCAAGACAACGAGATGAATGGAAAGGCTGGGCAGAGAAAACTCAAAAGTCCTCTTTGTTAGACTGGCAGGAAGATTTTCCATTTTTTCATCTGAGAAACCTTGCAACAACGAAGCTATTCACATTAATTAACGCCAGTCAACTCTGAATGAATCACATCTTTCACAGATTGAAATTCCCCAAGAATGTGTAACTTTGGCGGAGAAAAGGTTTTATCTGGCATGTCTTTTTGACAGTGATTGCAGACGAGGTTGTTTTTTGGTTCATTCAACAGCTGAAGATACAGATGGACTGCAGAAAAGTGGTCCAGTGTAAAAACAGCTCTCCTCTCACTCTCTCTCTTTAATTACAGCAGCTCAAAGTAATCTCCAAAAGTAATAATCACTGTGGCAGACCATTTAGTATTCTCGCCTTGTGCTATTTATCAAATCTCATTTTGACTTTTCATTTACTGCCACAAGTCTGACACAGCAGCTCAGTGACTCTTCTTTGTTGTTGCATCAGATATGAAATCACAGAGGTCCGTTCCTCTTAGATGGCAGACTGCTTACATTGGTAGTGCACACACGCATTAGGTCTTACCATAAATATTTAAAGCACACAATAATTCAGCAGCACACTGACAGGCATGTCTGCACTTGGTTTGACAGAGTTTGCAACTGAATGCCCTAAAGAGGAGACGATTGACCGATCTTTAATTCAGCTCTCAGAATAATGCCGCGAGAAACAAGAATGAGACGCAGCATCCTCCTCGCTCATTCATCACAACACGCTGTTTCTCTTCTAAAATGTTTTAAATTGCATGACACTGTAATAAATGTCCATCCTTTTTTATTAAATAAAATTAAACCAATAGATTTTTATCTAACAGGTAACGGTTGGTTTCATCAGGGCACAGATTCTTAAAAGAAGATTTTGTTTTTAGGGTGACACAGTGGCACAGTGGTGTTGGCTATGCAATAGTTCCTGGTATGAAACCACTGAGTTCTACATTTTGGATGTTAGTCACGCTGTGTTAGATGCAGTTGTGATCATTATAGGATCATATATATATATATATACAGTATGTTCAATTGGTTTTTATCTAAGCAGCTAAGAAGCGTATCAAACAGTCACAGCATCATGTTTTCTCATGTGTGTGATGATTGATGATAAAGGAGCTCTCAGACAAAGCTACACAAACCCATTACAGTCTGGACTGCACTTGCACACTGGCAGGCCTGGTTGGAGTTTTTTCTCTCTGACAACTCAACTGTAACTGTAGCATTTCATTCAGCAGCTGCCTGAAATGCCTGTGAGAGAAGAAGGGACGGTGCCATGACGAAGCTGTTCAGGCATCATCGCACAACATCTGTATTTCCATGAAGTACAGATTCAAATACCAACACAGAGCAAAGAGCAGCCTCGCGTTTGTACAGATTTGAGTTCCAAATGAAATGAGAGAGAGAGAGAGAGAGAGATGAGACCACCAGCTTCAAGGCTGATGTGATCCTCATGTCTGGATGTTATAGACACACTGCACAGGAGAGAAGAGGGGCTGTTTGCTGAGACCATTTTGAACCATTTTGTCTTCTTCAATATTTCACTTCATAAAACTGAGAAGTCTGAAGTTTTGAAAAAGAAAAGTTTGCCGACCTAAACTGTAGTATTTTGAGGAGGTGAACAGCTTGACTTGGTATTATTACAGTTTTTTTATACTGTAAATAGCAGCATTCATGTTAAATGAAAGTAATTCATTTAGATGCTGCACTGATCTAAAGAACAATTTTGACTGTAATGGAGACTAGATTGGAAATCTCTCTGTTGTGACGGAGAGACGTGTTTGGAATGTGGAGTGAGTGAGTGTCACTCTGTGGACTGCACACAGAGGTTTGACTTCTGATCTGTGTTTCATGTGCACAGTACACTTGATTTAGAATGGCCTGTTCTGCTCTGAGTGGACACAATGGTTCTGACATATCATTAAAAATATTATATATTGTAAATATGTCAATATATCATGTTGCTCTGCGCTGCATCGATCCAAACAATGCACCAGACTAATTGTTGAACAAGGAAAAAAAAATCTCACACACATTATTTTGTTCACTGACTCATTGTCAATACTAGTGTGCAGCTGTGTAACCCAGAACCTCATCTTCAGAGCTACAAGTCATCATTATTCTGCTACGAGCGCCACATGATGAAACTATATGTTGCTCTCCTCCACATTATTTATGAAAACTGCCCAGATCTGTGTGTTATGTAACTCTAACTGTACTGAAGTGAGGTATTATTAGGGAGCTGCTTTAGAGCCACGTTCTTTTACCTGAAGAATCATTTTTGGTTCAGTGGATCTAAAGGGACAGTGATGTGACACCTTCAAACATGCTGATTGTGTTTGACCAATAACCAGCCTCCCTGTCCTCAGACATTTTCGCCATCGAGCTTCAACTTGTTTCTACTTCAGTTATTATGAAGTGCTTGGCTTCCTCTGACGCTCTGCTTTCAGCTGGTTTAGTAGAAATCAATGCCCAGCGACATCCACTGATGTTATAGGGCAAGAGGGGCAGAAAAGCCTAATTGGATTCGTATTGTTCTCTAACCTAAGGGGCTCTGTGTCTGCCAGCAGTGATAGGAAACCAGATTACTTAGATAAGTCTTTTTGCCACTTTCTGCTCTTTTGAATGTTCTATAAACTGCAACCTGGAGTGGACGCTCAGAGGGAAGCTGTGGCCCCTGTGACCTACCTGTCAACACCTCCTACACATATTTCTTCCAATCCCACTTGTAGTTGTGTAATATAGGTTTGGACCCAACATCTTTTTGTCTAATAGCGGGACTTGCCCACTGTCTGCTGACACTTTTCTGTAAGAAAGGTCATGTTCCAAAGGAAAAACAAGAGAGTTCATATTAAACCAAACAAAATCCATAACCTTTCACAGCTCCTTCCCCTGGAATAAGAACGCTTCATTCGAAAATATTGTCCTCATTTCAGAGGCTCTAGTTTTTCGTCCTAAAACTAAACATGGCAGAATGGTGAATATGAAAATGGTAAAATTGAATGCACATGGAATCATCTCTCCATGTTAGTAACCCACTTGCATTTGTCATTTGTCACAATTTACTAGCAACAGGCAGATAGGAACAATGTAAATAAAGTCTGTTCTTCTATGTATTTATTCTCTCTCCCACTCGCTCTTTCTCTCTCTCTCTCTCTCTCGCTCCTTCTCTCTTTCTCTCTCTCTCTCTTTCTCTTTCTCTCTCTCTCTCTTTCTCTTTCTCTCTCTCTCTCTTTCTCTTTCTCTCTCTCTCTCTTTCTCTTTCTCTCTCTCTCTCTTTCTCTTTCTCTCTCTCTCTCTTCTCTCGCAGGGGCAGTTTGTCTTCGTGACCGCCTGACGTCTCGTTTCTGTCAGACGCTCTTTGTGCTCGGCCGTTGCCGCCTGGCCAATGTTCGGACGCAGTGTTGCAAGACCTGCAGTCGGCTTTCTCGCCTCAGCACCACCTCCCGCCACTAAGGTGCTACAGAACAACCAGTGACAGGCCTCATTAGCAGGGAAACTGAATGCACCACACAGTGATGAAATATACTGTAAATGATCATTTCTAGGTAAAACCCCTCTCTGAGCCTCTTCAGGGCGTCTGCACCGTTGTGTTGGTGGAATTATTCTTGAGGGCTGAAATCAGTTACGTAAACCCACAGATAGTCTTTCTTCTTGGTAAATCATGAGAATGTAAACGTCCGTTTGCACTTTTTAAATGTAATTTCTTGCTGTCAGACTGGCATTTTATCTTTCTGCATATACTGGGAACAGATATGTTACGTTGACAAAGTGACTCCCACCAGTTTAGCCATACAGTATAGTAATCATCCTTTGATAATATAGGGAAACTACAGCTTCACTGTTTGTATTGGTACAATGCTGTCATTTTGATGACAGCAGCAAAAACTGGACACAATGTAACCGAAAAAAAAGATGTGAATTTTTCTGGTGCTTTACAGATGATGTGGTACATGTCTGACAAATCCCAAAAGCCATTTTTGCATAAATGCCTCATGTGATGCAAATAAACTGCCGACTGTTGACCAATCCCTGTCTTATCACAGTTAGATGTAATAGAAGCACATCTGAGTTTTATGACAACATCTCCAGGACGGACCAAGGATGGATGTAACATTCATGTCTTTATTTTACAGCTCTACTTTTATGTTTTTTAAACAGCATAGATTAACTATTGCCTAGCGCACCCCCCTGCCCACATCAAAACATTCACAGCTTTTCTTTCAAAACTCCAGTGCTATTGCCTCATTGTGATACAACTATATTGAAATTCAAATGAATGTCCCTTGCTGTGACCCCCTCGAATAGCCACCTATACCACCACCTAAGAGAATAGAAGGCAAAAACACAATAGGTTCTTGATGGTTCCAATCAAAAGTACAGTTCCACCACTGAACTGTCATGTTTCTCAGTCTGTTTCTATTGTTGTTGCTTCAGAGCCTGGTGGTCGTTTGTGGACCTTTACCAGCGCTGCTCATTCATTAACATCTCCACAACATGTTTTGGAAATGTACAAATTAATTGTATATTATTTCACACAGCCAAAAGAAATCCACTACGTCAAAACAATTTCCTCTACAGAGGTACTGTATTAGTAACTAATAACAAAGCTTGTAATGTTGCTAAAAGCTATTGACATCTATGGGAATGTGAGCAGTGGCCAATGTTACATCTATTCTTGATCCTAACTGTTCTAATTCTAATATGTTTTATTATGTATATTATAATAACTCAGCTGTGATTGGACAGGTGCTGCTCAGTGGAGCAGGTATTTAAAGTCTTCTAATCTGATCCTTTGGCTTTACATCACGTGTTTAAGTCACCAAGTGTAATGTAAATGTTAAAAGATGAAATGCAGAAAATTGTTGGTGCTAGAGACCAATCAGGCATTCCAGGTGTTTTGGGTCAGGTATTGGCTGGCCCAGTGCCTTTTACACTCAAATACTGGACAACACAGTGTTGGACATTTTTCAGTAATATGTCTTCAAATCAGTTCTAGCTGTAGATTATGTTTGTGTTCTTCAATAAGCCGTTGGGTGTACGTCTGAAACTTCATTTTGCTTATTAGTTTAGCTGCCGCTGCATCATGAAGACCTGTGTAATTTCATGATTCTTATGTCACTTCTAGAATTTGGTGGATTGATATCTCAGGAAGCTCTGTAGTAAACAATGGAAGGAGGAACCAAGGAACAGCTTCTGTCACTTCATCTCACAGAGATAGAAGGGACAGACATTTTCTTTATCATGGTTTAATTTCACATTCAATAATAAAAAAAACCCAACATAATCACACCAGTAATCATGTGATAGTAATTTAATACTGATGTACACACGTTATTCTTGACGAAAAAGATACATTAAATATCAGACAAGACAGACGGCAGCGTTACTCTGAGAGTCAACATATGGAATGACTCTCCAACATGTTGACATCTCCCTGTGTTGTACATTATATTAAATTATATTTACTTTCTTTTCTTAAGTAAAAATGATTAGTCTGAGACACAAAACAAGCAATCAGATTCTGCATTTGATTGAAACAGGAAAACAACTCTTTAACTGCAGCATTCAAGGGGTAAACATCTGTTCTGGGAGTTCCTTTAAGACACTTTCATTCTGTGGATTGGGATTGATGTTGAACAAACAGTAATCAGTAATCAACTGGTGGCAGCGTCACCATCTTGGTGAATTCTTCGTAATTGACCTTTCCATTTGACTTGACGTTGGCCTCTTTGAAAAGCTCGTCCACTAAACCAAGACAGAGAAAAGACCTTTGTTAGTGTTGCCCCGAAACTAAGGACTTTTTAACAGCAGCTAAAAACATTCATAGTCAATTTCTTTTTCTAAGACAAACTGTGTTGGTGAAAGTAGCAGTTATATTTGCTATATGAATAGATATTTTGTATAAATGACCATTAGAATTATGGCTTTGTTCTGATTATACACAAATGATGTTTGAAGGGAGAAGTAGTTAATGGAGGGAAACTAATGAAAAACAAAACAAGAGCCTCTTTTTTGCAGTCAACATCTAGTAAATTATATTTCCCTCTGCTTTTCTACATATAAAAGGTGTAGCATGTACAGTATATATATATATATATATATACATATATATGTGTATATATATATATGCATATATATATATGTATATATATATGCATATATATGTATATATATTATAGATACTGCACTATTCTGCTCACAACTATAATTTGAACTTAATCCTATGGAACATGGAGCTTTAAAGTGCTCTTTTAGAAGCACCTCAAACAATAGCTAAATCCAATTGTGGAGCAGAGCTATTATCTTGTGTAGGTGGTGCCATTACAGTGCAACCGCTATAAGGAGCTTTTTTTCTGTTCTTTCATTAAAGTGCTATCGGTAAGTGACTACGTTGTTGGAGTCCAACAGTATGATGGATGTGTTTCCACGGGGGAGCAGTCACTAACTGCCATGCACAAAGAATTACATTTGGGCTTTGAAAACACCATCAACATCAAGCCAGCAGCCGAGAACTTAAAGTTTCCACTTCCACTTGAATGCTGTCAAAAATGGTTTCATGTCGGCTAGAAAAAAAAAAAGTTCAACTTTGTTCTTACAGTTGGTCTGTAAGGACAGATTTGAAACAGGTTTTTATGACTTGTTTGGATTAGCTTAGCGTAGATACTTTAAATTGTCCGCAGGTGTGAGAGTGAGTGGAAATGGTTATTTGTCTCAGCCTGTGGCCCTGTGATGGACTGGTGGACTGTCCATGTTGGACATCAATTTTAAAATCCACTGCTTCCACCTTAGTTTTCCTGATTCACTGGTCACTTCAAAAAGTATGAATTAAACTTAGGGCAGAAACATAATATACATTTATAAAAGGAGTTATTGACCAGGAATCTGTGTTTAGCTCTGAGATATTTCCCAGCAAACTTTAAGCTTATATTTAGTGGGGTAAATAATTCTAACCTGCAGTTACATCAGCTTTTTTAAAAGTTATTTTCTCTTCTTATGCTGGTTGATGTTAGCCTAAAGAGAACTGAAGTGCCGGTGAAGATTTGAAGCCTTGAAATGCGCTAATGATGCCTGACAGGCAGAATGGCTTGCCATTACGTCCAACAGAAATAAAACTCTCCCTCTCTGTTAAAAACTTCCTGTTTTCATCTTCATATTTTCATTTGGCTGTGCATTTTTTCCCTGCCAATTTGAAAGTGAATTTGGCAGGCCTACACAACTCAGTGTTTTTTTCCCCCTCCAAGTCATTTGATTCAACGCCCATGTGTGTAAGCTTCACGTATTGTGAACAAACACAGAATTGGACATAAACATGTCATGAGGCGTTAGCATTTGTCCCTGTGTCACAGTATAAGCAAATAGTCGAAAAGTTTCACAACGTTTCTCATGGTTCTTCGTGATTACGTCGTCTACAGTTTAAATATAGCATCTTAAGAATCAGAGAAATGCCTGCATGGACCGTGGCCCAGTCAATTACCACCGTAGAATACAAATGCAGTCCCGACATTTTTCAGACGGTACTGCATTTCAAACTGACATGATGAGGATATTACTGTGGGCTCAGGAAGTCCACGGTAGAGGATTGAATTTAACACAGTTATCGACCTGTCACATCCTCTGAACCTGTTCAAACCAGTTCATCTCCAATTGACCGACACAAGGTGAACCTGTACTAGTCCGAAGTTGAAATAGTTTTTTCCGAATCATCGACCGGATGTCCTACAGACTGGAGTGGAAAAGGACAACCCAGGTTTCTATCTTCATAGACTTGAAAAGCCAGCATCTGTGGTAGTATGGGGGCGTGTTAGTGCCACACATGGCACTTTTCACATCAGTGAAGACACTAACAATGATGAACGCTACATACACATTTAGAGCGACATCTGCTGCGATCCACGCAGAAATCTCTGATTATTTCAGCAAGACAGACAGTGTGTGTGTGTGTGTGTGAAATGAAAATGTATGGCGCATTATGAAGCACAAAAATCAGTTAGAGTGTTGTTTTTGGAACGTGGTGCAGGCATTTCATGTCAAATGTGTGACTAAAACAAGTGACTATTTTGAGCCTTGAATATTCTTTCTTTTCAGTGAATCCAATTGATCTTCACTACCTGGTGACCAGTTCAGTCAGTAAAGATTATTATCCATCTACAATCATGACATTGGCAGAAATAAAAACAGGAACAGCCCTTGATAGCACTTGCGCTGGGATTGTATGTAACAAATCAAAGACTACTGTGACAGTGTGATCAGCTCTATAACTGACTTCTCCTCAGTGACTCAGATTTTCATCCATCACTGTCTGTTTCGATATCTTATTTCCCTGAGGCCATTTTTCTTCAGAGAACTTTTCTCTTGTTTTATCTGATTGTCAGTTCAACTCCAATATTGTCTTTTGTCATTCTGAATACATCAAGAGAGCATCTTATCTTCTGATCTGATCCGTGTGCCTTCACAGTACCGCATATGTATTGTAAATAGTATCTGTCAAATATGTGTTTAACTTTCTATTCATTTTTGTTAGAAAAGAAAGATGATGTGGGTGGATGTCCGTGTCTCCAAGTATTTCTAGTGTTCTTTACCTTCTCTGTCAGTGAGTTTCTCTCCCATCATGGTGAGCTTTGCTCGGAGCTCAGACGCCGGAATGAACCCCTTCTTCTGCCTGTCTGTCATCCTCAGAGCTTCCAGGATTTCCGTCTTGGGGTCTTCTTGTTGCATTTGTCGATGCATCATTGTTAGGAAGGAAGAGAAGTCCAGCTCACCTTTCTTGTCTAAACCAGAATGTAGCAGGGGCAAAAATAGCCAAATTATTTAGGATAAAATGAAGTCAATCATTTATTCATCTGTAGAAATGTTAACATTTCATATAACCCTGTTACATATTACATTATAACCCTGTTAAATATTTTTTCAAATCATAAATCTGGAATTCTGGGTTACATCAATACCATATACCAGCTTGTTGTTCCACTGTGTGGTATTGATAATTGAAGTTTTTGTATTCTGTCTCTGCCTTTGTAACCTCTGTAGGCCAGGGACAAAACATCCAGAGTAGTAAACAAAAAAGGTTAAAACACAATTTGAACTTTACCAATCTTGTGAACTTGCAGGTGCCTTTCAATTTCACCATGAGTTGGACTTGTACCCAAACAGCGCATAACTGTCATCAAATCCTTGGCTTCAATCTTGCCCCTCTGCTTCTTGTCATACAAGGAAAAGCACTCCTTGAACTCTGTAAGGAAAATACAACATACTGTATGAACAGTCAGTATCCTTCAACCATAGCAGCACACTGGGGTTTTCACAGCAGCATGAATAAGGTCTAAGGTTTCAGCACCAAAAACAAAACAACAACAATGAAAATGTCATTGTATATACAACACAATGACATTTTCATAGTCGTCACAAAAGGTCCAAGGTTTGATAATACCTTCTAAATGATTAATGTTCTAACTTGTCCACAGGCGATGATAAATGTTGCTGCTTACCATTGATCTGAGTGGGTGGGAAGAATTTAGCCTGTATTGTGACATAAGTTGGCATCAAATTACATACGAAATGCAAATGTAAAAACAAGGATCTTTGAAAGAAAGTTTGTACCAACCATTTTGTGTCGCTCTTTGTTCCTCCTCAGGCGGCAGAGTTATCGTACTCCCCTGACCACCGCCTCTGTTTAAAGTCCACTTTGTAACGTGATACATGTTGTCGTAGATACGCAGGTACCTGATCCTGAAGGCTGCTTTGTCCTTTCCCTTTCAGAGTTTCCTAAGAGACCAATTACTAAACACCAGGCAAAAGACAGAGTGACACACACACTGTACCTGCTGACACACGTCATTTACTGACATTGATAAATAACTGATAAATAACATTGGCTCTATTCGCCATTGTGCATACACAGACACATGTACACACATGTACACACATGTAATATATATAACCTCACACCCCCCTCTCCCCATCACCATCTGGGTGTACTGTGGATGTGCTCAGAAAATTGTAGTAACATTTTTACTTTTTATGGTACAATCTGGGAGACACACAGGGAGTGCTTTTGCCTTACGGCAAGATCAACAGTTTAAACCCTGGCAATAACTGATGTTTTTCTATAGTGTGTGGGTTTTTTCCCCTCGGAGTGTTCCTTCTCCACCCACGCTGCACAAATATGCAGGATTACCAAAAATTGACCATAAATTGTAATGTGAGTGTGAATGGATATTGGTCTCTATATGTAGCACTGTGATAGGAAAAAAAAAAAATATATATATAAATGCAAACTCCACAGGAATTGTACAAATGTATTTATTCAACACTTTTGCATTGCTATTAGATATTTCTTGATTTGTGGAGTTGGTTAATGAGCAGGTCTTCTTTATAGTTTTGTCCTAAAAAAGGTGTGAAGTGAAGCATTTGTTCACAGCAGGACTTGTATCACAATCTCAGATCATCACAATGTTAAAAATCTTCAGCACAAACTGCAGAATTGACTGAACATGTCCAAAGTCATGCTCATAAACCTTTTTTATTTATCAAATCAAATCTCCATGTGACGAGTGTCTGGTCTCTCCATCCAGGTGGGATGGTCTCCAGCCTCCCATTCAGACTGAACTGAATAACAGGTTGGCGTGGGCGCCGTATCTTTTCTCACAAGTCAAACTGATGCAGACCTGGACAACAGCACAGAGCTAGAGTTTGTCTTTGACATGTAAGGTGTAGAAGGACCAGGGTTCTGGAACATATAAGATTCCAGGGTACTTGTTGCGTAGCACAGGGTCGTTCCACAGATAGACCACCCACACAGCCACCAGAAACGCAGTAGCAATAAAGCTGCAGAACAGAAACTGTCCATTACTGTCTGGGCTGAGCCCTTTGCAGTGTTGATAAATCACCATGGCAACCATGGCAAGGAATGTAAGGAGGAAAAGTTCGGTGATTTGTCCTTCAGTCACCAAGTACCTTGAGACAGAAAATAAGAACACATCAGAGTGACATCCTGATAGTTAACTTACGGTAATTTTATCAGCAGATAACCAAATGCACATTGTTCATTATCCTAAAGTCTTTCTTATTTGCTTTAGAGTACTACTAGTACTACTAGTGTCTATTACAACATGTTGATCATCTCATTTCAGTATCAGACCGACCAATAGTAGAGAGCACTGGGTCCCAGCAGCAGCCAGCCAGATGTGGGAATTTGTTTCCGTTGTTCAGCCTCTGTGAAGCAGCCGGTAAAGTAGATGAACAGTATGAAAAAGAAAGGAATATACCTGCAGTAGAACAGAAGATCAGTTAGGAAGGAACCATTATTCATTAGACATGATTATTACTATAATATATCCTAAGTGCACAACCATAGTCCAAAGATGATTGTCTTAGAAACCAGCAGGGAAACAACTCATCTCATATCAAAACGAATCCAACCCCCTCTGCTGGTGATTTTGTTGAAGTCGAAAAATAAGTATTTGATTATATATTGCAGTTTATGCTTAAGTACACGGCCATATAATTGGGTTCTAGAGGTGTGTATGTTTTATACTTTATAAAATAAGTGTTAGCTAATCAGTCTCTTAAGGTCGTTGGACGACAAGTATCCTTCAGTTTGATCAATCTCTGCAAGTAGCTGCAAGGTCAACAAAATACTGCTACACAACAGAAAAAAAATCCTTGTGTTGCACTTTTGTACATTTTCACTTGCACAGCATCTTTGAAGTGTATGATGACTCGTTCAGAGAGGTCGTTTATAGTGTAAGCACACTAATCCAAAAATATTAAGTTTAATTGGATATTTTTAACTTTTCATATCTTATAATATTTAATATAAAAACACACGTTGTTGGATATATGGCAGTGATATTAAAATGTATTACAATAATGAAAATTAATCTTAATAGTGGTGTATTGGCTGCCAAGTTTGCTGCATTAATTCAAAAACAGCCTGAAAATGGAACCTTGCATGACTTGAAATAGAAAATCTCCAGTCTATTCTATTATTGTGACTGAGTTTTTTGTAGGATTACTGGGTTTTTTATTCATCATTCCACAATCGGTTGTTGTGCACTCAAAACATCCTGAGAATGCCACAATGGGTTTTTAAGCACGTCTTTATCTTAAACTCCCGGAATTAACACCTGTCTCTAGTGTGTTTCATTAGATTTAACACTAATTACCTCAGGATTAACAAATGCAGTGAACGAATCCTGATAGACATAAAACACGTACCACATCAAATGTCCCAGTTTTTCATCATAATAATACAGCAGCTCAAAAGAGTCAATCTGTGAAGAAAAGTACACAATGGTTTTATTAACAATCTTAGAGCCCTACTATTACACAAAGCACAATAGGTGTTTAGAACAACAGTGCCACCCAGTGTTCAATATTTACTACTAATGCTAAATTACTAAAACGTGACCACTTTGATGATAAATCCCAGGGAGAATCTTAAAAAAAAAGACTATTATATAGTATAATATTAAAGGCTTATTTGTACATGTCCTAATTTACTTCCTTGATCTGTGGAGAAAAACACAATTCAACGCTTAATATGACACATACATATAGTTGATTGTATAAACTCAGGATCACAACTCTCTGGATTAAATAAGACAAATGTGTATGTATATTTGTTTTGTTTTTTTTGACATTGGTAAAATACTGAGTGCTTCTGACTTTAAAGTATTAATGACAGATCAGATGTCCACTGCTTCTTATCTATTTTGAAATTCACCCTCTGCCCACCACAGAGTAAAATTGTACCTATTTCAAGCCCTCCATGTAATGGCGCCATTCCCATTATTATTGGAAAACATCCAAGAAAAGAATATCTGAATGACACAGCCTGAATAATTTGAGCTAGTGTGAGAGGTGAGTCTGACAGTCCTGTTGTCCTTTGACAAGGTATTTGTTGTCACTGTTCCAGAAAAAAAGGATCAAATCCAAACCAGAGCTGTGCCTTTATTTAAGAAGAAATGAAAACATCAACACACAAAAACAAAATACTAACTGCTACCAACTGCCCTCTGCAGGGCTGTTAAGAAATGACAATGGCTACTTACTGCATGTGTGAAAATTAATCTGGCAAATCTGTGCAAAATTTTTACTCCTGAACAGTGGATGGATTTTATAGACTGTTATTGTTATTGTTGTGCCTTTTGTATATAAATTACAAGATTTATAAACCATGTGTTATATAACATTAACTTGAATGGAGACTATTCAGGTTGATGAGAAAAAGCTTTTAACACATCTATGACTTAAAATTCACATTTCAAATTAGAAGTGAATTCTTACCAGAGAAGCTGGTTTGAGGTCTTTGATGATAGGGTTCTCTCTGACCGACAGGTGAAGCTGGTAACCACTAAGAATGAGTCGATGGTTTATGGAGTCCCCCACAAGGTGGATGCTGGCGCCCATGACAAAGGTGATAATGCAGAGGTAGACCACAGACCGGGGGAATGCACTCCGACTGCGTTCAATTAGCTAAAATAATAGTAATTGATTAGAAGTCTTTTAACATTTATTAACAAAATACCAAAACCGACTTATCCCCATTTTTTAACAATAAATCACTGTAACTGCTCCATACCAGTTTTTAACAGTTAAACAGTCAGATTCGTAGAGATGCATACATTCCTTAACATGAATGTGACCTTGAGAAAACTGTCACAGCTTTGTCAGATGAATTGCCAAACCATATTCCCGGATTTTAACAAATTAGACACATTTTGATAACCTTCACATTTTTGCCTACCTTAAGCATGAGGAATGGTGTTATGACATTGTAGGCCATGTGGAAATAGTCTCCAGCACTGGGCTTGTTCAGGGGAAACCATTCCAGAGGAAGCAGGATCTAAGACATGTGTTTTAAGTCATTAATATGACTTATACCTTAAACAAAAATGAAGTAAAATACAGAAAATAAACAACGTCTGATTTTAGTTGTGTATAATAATTGTTTATATTATAAGACATTATCTTCAACATATACTTTTGGAATTGGAGGTGATAAGTTATGTCATTGTGAGTAGGTAACTGTTAAGTTAAAATCATCAAATTGGAAAGTAGCTGTTCAACTTTTGATCAAAATATTGTTACAAGTACAATGTAAATGGCCCCCTCTCTAATGAGACAGCAGCATGCTTGTCTCACTTAGTACTATAAAAAAAAGTCTAACATTATTGGACTTTCACTAGTTTTGTTTTTAATTACTGAGCTCTGTTTACTACCAAAAAGAAAGCTAAAGCTGTGGTGGGACAAATGTACCCAACGACAGTGGCCACGAACATCTACAACAAAACCTTATGTTGAAATAGAATTGAGTTTTCTTTTTAAATGAAATGTAAACTTCATTTTGTTACCATTACAATAGGCCTTCCAAAGTCCAGTATCCAGTTTTGCAGAGTCAGACAGAACCACAGGTCCAAGTGGAAGTGCTGTCTTTTCTTCTGTGGCACATGTTCCTTTAAACCACTGGGGTTGCTGTCAGAAGACAGGTGCAGTTACCGTAAGAATGTTAATGAGCTAATTAATGAGCTAATATTCTTCCTCCTGCTATCTTACATCTTCTCATTACAAATGGCCGTCCTGTAATTTATTATATATGTCAAAGTTAATGATTATTTAGATTTCAAATGTCAGCTTAAAACCCCATGGGATATTTTGTGTCTCTGTCTTGTCTGTTTAAGCCTTTGGAGGTTTTTGACCTGAGGGTTTTCAGCCACTTAAATTAAATAATTTGTCTCCAGTTGTTATTTCCATCAAGGAGATTAAACCGTTTTCCAGCTTTTTTTTCTGTCTGTCTCTGAGCACCGAGGATTTATGTGGTTGACATTTTCTGGAGATTCAGTGAGGAGCTGGATTTTTAAAAACCTTCCCACTTCTGACTCCATTTCATTACAATGATTCCCAGAAAACAACCACATGAATAAACTAGATGAGTTAAGGTCAATTACTGTGGCTGTAAATGACTCAAATGTAGCATCGACCATCGCACTAATCAGCACCAATTGTGTTGGCAGCAGCGACACTTAATCATCCTAACACTTATTTAACAACGATGTCAATGATACCATGGTGGAAATCAAAGAACTTGATGAACAGCACGCCTTCATTACGCCTTCATACCTGTTTTGTTTTATCGCGCCTGAATCGGTATTAAGGCGTTTCCGTACAGACTGCATTTCCGGTTCCGTGTCTAGTAATCAGAAGACTTCTTGCCCTTTGTATAACAACTAGTGCCAATAAGTCAAGTTCTGGTAGATTGATAAGTATTTGTTTTGTCTTCCTCTCATTTCATTTAAACTTCTTTCTGTCAGAGTGTATTTCCTGCTTCCTGCCTCTGAATCTCCGCCTCTTTACTGATCTACCAATCAGAGTGTAGCAAGGTAAACGCACAGTGACATGAATAATGGCCCACGTGATATTTTAATGTCTTAAGAAGCTGTGTCCACATAGCCAAATACATTTCCTTTGTATGTTCTCTTGGGTTCTTCATAATTCTTGACATTTGCTGAAAAAAGTTATACTTACTGCACTCATCGGTGGATAGAACTCGTTTAACAAAACCAGGGAATTAGCCATAATGATTTACAATAATTCAACAGCATCATATAGTAAACAAACTAAACACCCTTGGACTGTAACTGTGTTTTTATAGAACGTTTTAGTGGAACATATCAGAATATATTAAAAGTGCAAAAGGACCACAAACTGAGCAATTGAATAAATACAAAAAAGATATATATATAAATACATATTAATTTTTTTTATTAGTACATAAGTTATATATGTGACCCAAATGCCCCATTACACCTATCTAGTAAACCATTTGGACTAAGAGCTCTAATTGTAATGTTTTAGAACAAACAAAACCAATTAATTATTACATAGAATATAGGGATAAATAACTATGCAAATATGGTTTATATTTCAAACATATTTTGAAATCCAAATTAAAAAATAAATATTATAAAATATATTATTATACAAATTTGTACAAACTACGGATATCCAGGGAGATTTTGTCCCTTTGTAATATGCTTCAGGAACATTTTGGCTCAAGTTCCTGACGTAACCTTAGTTACAACAACTTTTTTTTTTTTTTGCAAAGATATAACTTATATGTTATGATCAGTTTTGACTATTTTGAGACAGGCAACAATCACATTTCACATTTTACTATAAATGCTGTTTTTCTTTTCTGACTCTTATTAATTAATCTTTAATCTTCTATTTTTTTCCCTCATGTTAACTCTTACCAACTTGTCTGCTCAACATTCAGGGCAACTAAATGGTTTCGTTTACATGAATTTTTCTTATGTCTTTTTAAATGACTCTTCTGAATAAACCTTATACCACACTCAGAGCAGCTAAAAGGTTTCTCTCCTGTATGTATTTTCTCATGCCTTGCTTTTTCATCTGCTCTCATAAACCTTTTACCACATTCAAAGCAACTAAATGGTTTTTCTCCTGAATGGATTTTCTCATGTCTAACTTTTTCTTCTGCTCTTGTAAAACGTTTCCCACACTCGGAGCAGCTAAATGGTTTTTCTCCTGTATGAACCTTTACATGTGACATTAGACTGTTTTTTTGAATGAATCCTTTGCCACAGACGGTGCAACTAAAGGGTTTTTCTCCAGTGTGATTTTTCTCATGTGATTTTAAATGACTCTTCTGGGTAAACTTTTTCCCACACACAGAGCAAATAAAATGTTTTTCTCCAGTATGAATTTTCATATGTGTCCTGAGAGTGCTCACTTGGATAAAACTCTTTCCACATTCTGAACAACGAAATAATTTTTCTCCTGTGTGAATTTTCTTATGCACTCTTAGAGTACTGGTCTGGATAAAGCTTTTTCCACATTCAGAGCAACTGAACGGTTTCTCTCCTGTATGAATTTTCTCATGCAATTTCAGATTGCTTTTCTGGCTAAATGTTTTGCCACACTGAGAGCAATGAAATGGTTTCTCTTTTGTTTGTTTCTCAGGGGTCCGTAGATTGTCCTTTTGAAGATGAACTCTTTCATGTTTTACTTTTTCATCAGCTCGTGTAAAACTTTTGCCACACTCCGTGCAGCTAAATGGTTTTTCCCCTGAATGTATTTTTTTATGTCTCAGGAGAGTTGACTTTCGGGCAAATTGTTTGCCACATTCAGAACATTTAAGTTTCCCAGCAATGATAGCGCTCACATCAGTAAAGAGACTTGCTTTTCTCTCTGAACTTGGTTGTTGCCCAGTCTCTTCTCTATAATCCTCACTGTCATCTGTCTCGGATGAATCTTCATTCTTATCCTCTGCACTTGATCCATCAGGTCTGTCTAAACCTAGGACATTAGCCGTTTCTGGTTCTCCAGAGTTCCCCCTGTTCTTCTTAGTCTGACTCTGAAGCTGTGTGAGGTCCTCATCAACTTCTTCACCCTTCACGACCACAGTGAAGACATCAGCCTCCTCCTGTTTGATACACAGTTCCTCCTTTTCCTCCTTAATGAGAGGGAGATTTTGCTCCTCGTGTTCCACATTATCCCTCCACTCCAACAGGTCTTTGGGAACTTCTTCTTTAACAACACACAGCGTCGGGTCTCCTGTAGGACAGGTTAGAAACTTAAACTCTAAATTTACCAGTGTTTATTTCAACAGTTTATAGCTTATAAAAAACAAAACGCTTTAAAGAAAAAATCTCCAGACTGTGAATTTTATTGGGAACATTTCTTCAACAGATTTGTATTTTTTCAAAGCAAATTCAAAAACTAAAAAGCTAATCCGTGAAGATTATATTATGTTAACTCAGAAAACAGTATTTAAATGAATATATTTGAATTATTTACAATAAAAATCAAATAAATGTGAATTACAAACAATGTTTATATAATTTCTAAGTCATCTTGGTGACGTTTACACACAACAACTTTAAAAAATAAAGGAACATGTGGTTCCTTTATTTAAAAATAAAGGAACAATTTACATAAACAGTTATGACTAATAGAAGACTTGGGAGTTGCGAATGGAACCAAGCCAAGACGGTTTAATGTTTCAATTCCGGACTGACTGGTGTGCAATAATGTCTCTATCCAGTTGTTACATGCAGTTTATGAATCGGCCAAAGCTAACGAGAACGGCCACCAAGGGCACAAGCCTAGCTAGCAAAGAGCTGCTTAGCTTTTGTTTTCGACGCAAGGGAACTGACCTGTTGTGCTCAACCTGCCACCGGGGTTTGGGTAAGCATCAGACGGCTTCCTTTGGCTGCAGATCTCCTGCTCTGGGCGTTCTCTGCTGCCCTCGTACTGATCTGTTTCATTAAACACAGCTAACATCTTTTTCACTATAAACCCAGGACAGGCGCCAGTCTTAAGGCATCAATTCTCCTTTTCTCTCCTTGCAACAGTGACAGCAGCAGCCCGCATATTTACAAACTCAGCAGCAACACACCGCACAATTCTCGCCGTTCTTCACTTACTCTTCACTAGTCGTAGCAACAACAATCGCCTGGTACAAAGTAACTAGTACAAAGGTATGCCTCTGCATCCGGACATTTCAAAATAAGAGCATAATCATAACTTGTTTCGCGAAAAAGAATATTGGTATTGTGTTATAATTGTAACACAGCCACGTGTAAATTAATTTAAAACTCGTTATGATTATCTTTATGTATTTTGACTAATTACCTGTTATTTTTACAGTAATTCTTTTTGAACGTTATGCTGAAACAATATAGTTAACTTTATCATCATATATTCTGGTTTCATCGGTTCGTCGGCAGAACTAACACATTATGCAAATAAATGTAAATTGTTTTGATGAACATTATTTCGTTTACGCGGTGGACGGGACTTCCCCAAAATGGCGAACGCGTCGACGTATCGTCGCATATCGCCTGCGTGAACGCGGTCACTGCTGATTACGTCATGCGCTGTGGGACATGCAGTGCAGCTTCTGGGATGTCTCATTACTAGAAACTACTCTAAATAGATGCATTTATGGCGTTCTGTTGCTGCAGCGCTGGCGTTGCTGCATGTGGAGACTGTGGACGAAACGGCTCCAGTCCTAACGCTCTTTGTAGATAACAACTGAGGCACAAAGTTGGGAGAAGACTACCTTGGTTTGGATGAAACTCACAGTGTTTGTGTTGACCGCAGAGGACTACGGAGACAGTAAAGCAGTCACAACGGAACGGCCACCAGTCCCAGCCAAAACACGACGTCAGACATAACCCAGCAGGTTTGTCCCTGTTTACAATATTCTGAAATAAACAGCAACATTTTACTGAGGCTTATTTGCTAAGCTAATGCCTGTATGATACCTTCGAGTGCTTTGCGTTGTGCCTAGCTGTTTGTAGAAAGATTGTTTTTCTGGTATGTAACCGATAGCACCAGTTGTTGTGCCTTTTTTGTGAGGTTTTTTTTGCAGGTCGTATTGTCAACAATTATAACAGCAATGTGTTTACTCATAATGATACTGAAAACACACACACGTTTTTTCCTACCATCACTGGTAATTCCGTGTATGCCTTCTTTCTTTTGTTTTCTGTGATTAGCAGCTGCTGGTGATTAAAAAAAAAGAAAGAAAGAAAGAAACTTCTTTACGGATGGAGTGGAGTGGGTGTGTGCACCAGGAGGAGCCAAAACACCCTCATGTTAAAGATGAAGAGGAGGAAGTGTGCATCAAACACAAGGATACAGATATAATTGCTGTGATTATAAAATCTGAAGAAGATGAAGAGTGCCCTGAGTCCATACAGTTCCATTATCAGAGCCAAAAAGAGAAGAACTTGGAAGGTTTTGGAGCAACAGAACCAGCTTGGAACTCAGGTCCAGACAGACATGTGGCTCTACATGCTGAGAAAATGAGTTAAATCGTCCAAGATGACAGTCAAATCTAATTGCCTTTTTTTTTCTGTACAGATGATCAGCTGCTGTTGGGGTTTAAAGAGAAGGTTCCCTCTAAGAAGCAAGAAAGGAGAGCTCGTATGGATGAGGGGACGCCAGAGTGCCCACAAATCAAAGAGGAAGAAGAGGAACTCTGCATCAAACAGAAAGAGGGTTATATTATCGCTGTTACTGTGAGGAGCGATGAAGATGAAGAGAATTCTGAAGAGTCTTCAGTGTCTCCTTTTCACAGTAGTATTCGGAGGAATAGAGACAACGGTGGAAAACTAGAACAGACAAGGAACTCGCGCCCAGAGCAACATTTAGATCCTGGTGCTGCAGACAAGACTGCAGCCTCATCTGAAACTGAAGACAGTGAGGATGATTGGAAGGAGAGCTGTAAACCAACAAGTTTAAAAAGAGTGAAAAACAAAACTGTTACCACTGACGTAAGGGTGAACACCAGTGAGAACCTGAGCTGTCCTGAATGTGGTAAAACCTTTGCTTACAAATCACTTCTGCTGATACACGAGAACACTCACTTGGCAGTGAAACCATATAGTTGCTCTGAATGTGGAAAACGATTCACACAAAAGGGCAAGCTAAAAATACACAAGATAACTCATACAGGAGAGAAACCATTTCTTTGTTCTGAGTGTGGGAAACGGTTTACTCAAAAGAGCAGTCTAAAGATTCACATGAGATTACATACAGGTGAAAAACCATTTAGTTGCTGTGATTGTGGCAAGAGATTTAATGAAAAGAGCAGTCTGAAAATCCATAAAAGAATTCATACAGGAGAAAAACCATTTAGTTGCACTGAGTGCGAGAAAATATTTAGACGCAGGGATGAACTGGTGATACATCTGAGAATTCATACTGGAGAGAAGTCCTTTAGTTGTTCTGTGTGTGGAAAAAAATTTCGTCAAAAGAGCACTTTGAAAATGCATGAGGCAACGCATACCGGAGAGAAACCCTTTAGTTGCTCTGAATGTGGTAAAAGCTTTATGTATAAAAGCAGTCTTAAGATTCATGAAAAGCTTCATTCAGGAGAGAAACCATTTAGTTGCTCTGAATGTGGTATAAAATTTACTAAAAATAGTAGTCTGAAGATGCATATGAAACTTCATACTGGGGAGAAACCATTTAGTTGTTCTGAGTGTGGAAAAAGTTTCAGACGAAAGGATGAAATAGTGAAGCATGTCAGAGTTCATACAGGAGAAAAACCTTTTAGTTGCTCTGTTTGCTGTAAGAAATTTACACAAAAGGCCAGTCTTTGGAAACATGAGAAAATTCATGCATAAGAGAAACCATATCGTATAAATGCTACACGTACGTTACTTAAGAAATAATTAAAATAGTTCTGCTGGCAAAATCTTTTGCATTTTATTTAATTTATATTTGCCAAAACTGTATTCATAAATCATGCACATTGATAATGTGCGTGATGTCCAAATGAGCCTAGTGCTTCAAGCTCTTTTGTTTTCATGTTCAATTATAAATCTTGGTGTTGCTCTTGAAAAAAAAACAAGCATTGCAGACCCTCGCTTCAATGCTATTTCTATTTATTTAAATAAATAAGTAAATACTATACATTTACTTTGTAAGAGAACATACATACTTTGGTTGAGATTTGTATAAGGAAACTGATGTGCTTCCTTTTTAACCTCATTAAAGATCAATAAAGAATCCACTTGTGTGGGTGTCATCCAGACTGCTGAGACATAAAATGTTAAATGTGTAAATAATTTAAAAATACATTAATACATAAAAAAGTTTTTGTTTTATTATTTTGTTTTTATTCTACATTTTGAAAAAAATAATGTTAAAATTGTGGCCCGGAAAATGCGGTTTAAGTCATCCAAACGATAGGTAGCGCTGTAGCAAAATCCCGAGTCGCGAAAAGCTGTTTCCGGCGCTGCTGCTGCTCCCTTCACTGGCTGCGGTAGACTTTTTGCGTGGGTGAAAGTGTGAGCACCTTCGCTTAAAACGTTGTATTTTAGAGTCGAACCAAGAAGGCTCATATGACGGCACCTCTAACCGGGCGGCTGACGTGGGAGGGACCCCGACTGGGCCTGTGTTTGAAGACCTCGTGAAGCGGTCCCAGTGGGAGACCTGTCACCAGAGGATGCGGCTCTGTGCCAAGCTGAAACCTTGAGCCAGCAGGTAAGTGTATGTCCATTGAAGCGGACCAAAGGCCAGTAACTCACTTTATGTTTGTTATATAAGTCGTCTTCGTTGTCTGTCACTGCAATTATTGACAATCCATAAGAGATAGATAATTGACGTTTCACCAGGCTGCGAGCAAACGTGGAAAAACAAAACATTAAAGAATTGTTCTACTGGTTTTTGCCTAACTCATCTGTGAAATCCGAACGATTTGGGGCAATAGTGTCAACTCTGGCAGAAAGATGAAGTTACCGTAAATTGGAAGGCATTGTGAAAAAGAGCGGAATCCTAAAATTCTTAAAGAAAACACCAAGCAGTGCGCTGAGAATCTGGACCGAACATTTTGGAATTACTCAGTCAACCTCCCGATCTCATCGATCTTATGGATGGAATGGAAGAAAACTGATTTTTTGCTACATATGATTGTTCTAAAGTCCGATGTTCGGACGAAGAAATTAGTGAATTTTTCTGGAGGCTGTTTTTATTTAAAAAAAGAAAGCTGTCTCATTTCATTTTCTTAAAAAAAATAAAAATTATAATGTCTACAGGTTTTGTTGTTTTGTTTTTTTACTTTTTAAATCTCTATCACAAACAATTTACTTTTACAATACGTCATAGCCATTGGTTTTGTTTCCTGTGTGGGTGGAACTGAGGTACACTGTTGTCCTACTCTCTTCATTAAAGTTTTTGGTGCTGAACCAGGCATTGAATTTGTTTTGTCTGTTTCATATTTTTGCAGCTCAAACTGTCCTACGCTTTCCAACCAAGTAATACCAAAGTAGTGCAGTTGGGGGCGCCCTCGTTCATCAGCGTCTGGCAACACTTTTGTGAAGATGGAGGTGAAGAAGGAGGCTCGTTTTTTTTCTCTCAAGAAATATTTTAAAACAATGAAAAATACTAATTCCTTGCTTAGGCATTTAAATGGAAAAATCAAGCGCACAGCAAACAGTTCAAGCTTAAGTTGCTGCATCGCATAATACACAATGTCCAAATTATTTCAGTTGAATGAAGACATCGGTGAAGTGAATCACACATCTAGCCACCCATTCTTTACAGTACTCTTTATTTTTTGCTCTTTACAATTAATATGAATTTTATTTTAATATAGGAAAAGCCTTTCCTGAAGTCTGTCAGTACAGAGATGGGGGTTAATCATCTGAGAACAGTTAAAGGTAAAGATGTTACTTTACTATCTGCTATGTGTGAATATAAGTTAGAATTAATTTGTGGTTCAGGAAAATTGAAACATGCAAATACTGCAGGTCACTTTAAGTAACACCTCATTTACCGGAAAGCAGGAGAAAATAAAACTGTCTGTAAGCATGTTCCTGCTTGGTGTCTTCACAGATGACCAGCAGCTGCCAGTCATCAAAGAAGAGCTTTCCCCTGTCCACCAGGATTGGAGACTCACTGTGAACAATGAAGAGACTGAGCATCCTCATGTTAAGGTTGAAGAGGAGGAATTTGCCATCAAACAGGAGGAGACTGATATCATTGCTGTCATAGTGAAAGGTGAAGATGATGAAGAGATACCAGACTTCTTGCAGCTTGATCACGAGAAAGACACTGAGGACAACAGAGATGACTATGGAGCGGCAGAAACAGCTACATACTCAGGTCACTTCAGACCTGACGCTGAGGAACGGACAGGAGTCTCATCTGAGACTGAAGACAGTGAAGATGAGTTGGCGTCCAACAGTGGACCACCAAGTTTAAGGATAGTACAAAATAAAACACTGTCCAGTGATGTGGATGGTAAAGGTAGCAAGAAACTTAGCTGCTCTGAATGTGGTAAAGGCTTTGCCTATAAGTCACTTCTACTGATACATGAGAAAGTTCACATTGGAGAAAAATCCTTTAGTTGTGAGAAGTGTGGGAAAGGATTCATCCTCAAGAGCTCTTTAAGGAAACATGAGAGAATTCATACAGGGGAGAAACCATTCTGTTGCTCTGAGTGTGGCAAAAGATATACCGATAAGAGCACGCTAAAGACACACCAGACAATTCATACAGGAGAAAAACCATTTTGTTGCTCCCAGTGTGGAAACAGCTTCATTACAAAGAGCAATTTAAAGATACACGAGAAGCTTCATACAGGAGAAAAACCATTTAGTTGCTCTGAATGTGGTAAAAGATTTTCCCAAAAGTGTGACTTAAGTAGACATGAACGAATTCATACTGGAGAGAAACCTTTTTCCTGCTCCGAATGTGGCAAAAGATACACTGAAAAAGGGTCCCTAAAGGTACACAAAAGAACTCATACAGGAGAGAAACCCTATAGTTGCTCCAAGTGTGGTAAAAGGTTATCTAGAAGGAGTGATCTAAAGATACACGAGAAGCTTCACACAGGAGAGAAACCATTTGTTTGTTCTGAATGTGGAAAAAGATTTATCCAAAAGAGTGATCTTCGAAGACATGAGAAAATTCATACAGGAGAGAAACCATTTAGTTGTTACAAATGTGGGAAAAGGTTTATCGAAAAGTGCAACCTAAAGACACACGAGAAAAAACATGAACAGAATCCTTTTCACTGCTTTGCATGTGGTAAAATGTTTAGACAAAAGAATGATTTGGTGATGCACGAGGTCACACACATTGGAAAGTAAGCTTTTGTTGGCATTGTAACCAAATTAAAGGCCATTGTGGTTACAACTAAGTGTATTTGTATAGGAGTAAAAATGGCAAATGTCATGGGGAGAGAAAATTAAGAAAACAAAGTAGTTGGAGCAGGCACTCCATACTGTTTACACTCTAGTGTTGTGCAAACATGCATTCTGACTGAAAGCATGTCTTTTCATGCTGGATTTATGTTACTGTGTATTTAAGAACATTGAGGTTTGTGGGGCTAAATGTGAAAACATTCTGAATCTGTCTCCAAACATTTTGACTTACCCTTGAACATGTCATGTCCCCTGCTCATGTCCAAGTGATCACTGGGATTCAAAAGGCTAATGGGAACATTCTGATTGGCCAACTCTGTTTTCCTTACCTGAACTTGGTTAACAAACATTTCAAATTCCCGTTTGCCGGATTGACATTTCTCTATACATCTGACTCTGAATAATGCTAAATTATTCAGCGAGACATTTCCCTGTACTGCTGAGTCAAATATTGTTTTACATTGGTTATTCTTATAGCAACACAACAGAATATGCGTATGTGAGGGTATTTATGAGTATATGTTTGTGTTTAATTCTGATTTATGCTGGTCAGATATTTGATCGTAATTGGTGATGCTATCATCAATTAATATACAGTAATTGTAATTTATATATTGTATATTGTAAATAATCTTACATTTTACCACTGTCCTGGTATTGTTCATAAGAGTGAACTCTGGTTTTCCTGGAAAACAACCCATTGGAAAACAACACTTTAAGGCAACTTTTGAATCCTTACTTAATATTACTTTCTGACGTACCTATTTAAAATGCACATAGATTTTATATAGGTACTTAACTGCTTTAATTAATGTAACATAAGCAGCCAGAGGTAATGAGAACTATACTTGAAAATGTATTTTTCAACACACCTTTGAAATGTTGCAAATGTGGTTGCAGCATTATTCAATTTTAATAAATTAATTTGTTCTAGATTTTTTTCCTCTCTTTTAACATAAACACTTTGCCAGAAAATGAAACTCATTTTTAAAGCTTGGTCCCGGTGAAACATGTATTAAATATCATCTAACAAAGCAGCATTTTTATTTATAACAAATTAATTGTTAAAAACTTGTTTTACTGTAAGAGCAGGCTGTTAAAAAAGTATGTCTCTGTAAATTTTCAATGTGGAGAAAAACATTTATTTCATATATTTGAATGGTACAGTGTAATCACAGTTTCACCAACAACTGAATAAAGCTGAATTATTTACATTTCATCTGCTTCATTTACAGTAGTCTGTCTCCCCGTGTGTTGATTGACAAGTAGCAGGAAGCAGCAGAAAAAGAAGAAGAGTAAGAAAAGCAACACCCCAGAGGAGCACCACCTACAGGACAAACCAGGGATTGAGACCAGAACAAGGGAAAGTGCAAGTACATTAAAAAGTTGAAAACTGTAAAGACATGTTTCTTTTCTTGTGAAAAAACAAAATAGCATTATTTTTTAAACAAGAGTCACAGGCCTCATCACTTTATCAGTTGCTATACAAGGTTCAGATAAAGGGCATTGCTTAATGAAAAAAATACAGCTACTTTAAAATATGAACATTGTTAACAAGTGTGCCTGCTGTTTTACAATTTACAGTTATTTGAAGTTGTACCTACATCACTTTTACAGTATGTGCTTCAAAATATGACTAAATTCAAGCAGAAAAATGTCCAAATGGACCCCATGTGAGATCAACTGAAAATTATACGTCACAATGTGAGCTATGTTCGCACCTGAAATACTAGGTGGATCATGTGCCATAAAACTGTACCATTTTTTAAAAATTTTATTAAGTATGAAGATATTTGTATTAAGTATGAATATTTAACTAAAAAGCACAACCACTAAATGTACATACAAATACTGGCTGTGTGGTGTTGTTGAAGTCATTCCTTTCATCTGTCTGATGATCAATACTGCTGCATTGGCAGAACTAATGTATTTACATAAGGTTTGAAATAAATAGTTATTTTCAAGGACCACTTACATCACGCGGTTAAGGCATCAACCGCTTCTACATGTGAATGATTAATTAAAAGTAAACGGTACGCTGCGCTCTGTAGGCGTTAAACGGTTCCATCACACTGAGTGTAGCATTGATTGTGTAGCATTGAACAGCCACAGTGTCTGAGTGTCTCAGATCAGCAAATACATTATTCTTCATTAGTCACAGAAATTTAACAGCCACTCCTTGTTCATTTTTAGAGCTACAGTTTCATCTACAAATCCGTCCACCTGCCTGAATTTCTGAGCATTCTTAGCTTAGCAAAAAATGTTGCACTAAGCAGTGGCCACTATTTTTTTTACATTTGAAGTGAACACGTTTGTTGTTTGTTTTTACTTTTGCTTAAATTGTTTCTTTACATGAGATTTTTCATGTAATTTCATATACTTTCTCTGAGTAAATCTTTTACCACACTGTTGGCAACTAAATGGTTTCTCTCCCGTGTGGTTTCTAATGTGAATCACCAAATTATCCTTTCTTCTAAAACCTTTGCCACACTGTTGGCAACTAAATGGTTTCTCTCCTGTATGAATTCTTTCATGTGACGTCAGACTTATTTTATGGGCAAATGTTTTGCCACATACAGAGCAACTGTACGGTTTCTCTCCCGTGTGGATTTTCTCATGTGACTTCAATGATTTCTTCTGAGTGAATCTTTTCCCACATTCAGAACAACAGAATGGTTTCTCCCCTGTATGATGCCTTACATGTACTACAAGTCTATCCTTTCTTCTAAATGTTTTGCCACACTCTGAGCAACAGAATGGTTTTTCTCCTGTATGAATTCTCTCATGTGTCTTTAAGGTTATTTTTTGGGTAAAACTTTTCCCACACACAGAGCAGCTGAATGGTTTCTTTTCAGAGTGAATTTTCTTATGTGAGTGAAGATATTTCTTCTGGGAAAATCTCTTTCCACACACAGCACAACTAAATGGTTTTTGTCCTGAGTGAGTACTTTGATGTCTTAGCAAAAGTAACTTGTTTACAAATTGTTTGTCACATTCATGGCAGCTATATCTCTCAGATAAGTCATCTCTGAGTGAACTGCCATTATTCTTTGAAGTCTCCAAACTTGCTGATTCACAAGGTTCTTCCGTGTAATCCTCACTGTCTTCAGTTTCATACGAGTTTTCATTCTCGTCTTCAATTTCTGATTCTAATTGTTCATGTTGACCCAAGTGCCCTTCCTCCTCCTCCTCTTCTTCTTCACTCTTCACAGCCACAGCAATTATATCGTCCTTTTCCACTTGAACACTTATTTCCTTCTCCTCCTCTTTGATTTGGGGGAACACTGGCTCCTTCTGCTCCTTAATAGGTCTCCACATCCTCGGCTCCATAGGAACATCTTCTTTAGTAACCGTTGTTGCCATGTCATCTGCATATGAGAGCAGAGAGACTTTAATAATATGGTTATTTTTAGTATTAATGAGCTTACTTAACAACAAAAACAATTTATAAATTTAACCAATATTAACTTTAGACACTGTGTTGTCACCTATGTAATAGCTCATTTTCTGTTTTATCCACAGCAGTTTGAGACCTTTTACATTTCCCTCTATCATCTTGTAAATTACCTGTTTCTGTTTCTTCCTGTCCAATGCACAGCTCCTCTTCTTCCTCCTTCATATGGGAATCCTTTAGTTCCCGCTGGTCCACCCTGGCACCCCTCTTCATTTGCTCAAATGGAAGCTTTCCTAAATAATATAAAACTGTCGGTTGTTGACAGAAGAGATTGGAGATGTTCAAAGCAGAACTCTGTAAATAATAACAAAAGCAAATCTGCGAACTGTAAATCTTGTGGACCATGTCCTAACATAATTTTTAATAATTGAAGTCTCTAAATAACAGCGTATCCAGAGAAACCCTCAAGAGATGTTTTCCCCCAGGAATGTAGTAATAATATAGTGACAAAAACAGACAAAAACAACTCACCGGTTCGCTTTGATATCCTCGTATCGAAAAAACTATTCTGTATACGTCCAGCTTTTGCCCGGATCAATATGGCGACAACGTATACGCGTCAATTCAATTTACCAAAGCCCGTGGCGCAGCTACTATTAGCTTAGCTAAGCTGTATAGGCTAACTGTGTGTTGTCTTTTGAAAGAGGGTTAGGTAAGCACAGATTGACCAAATATTTGCAGCCTGACATCGGGCTTCAGCTCAGGCAGCCACAGCTGACTTTCGTTACCGTTTGTTGTCGTGCTAAAATCTAGTTTTCTATAAAACGAGCATCTCTTTCGCTGTTAGCCAATGGGTGAACAGTGACAACATCCGTGCCGAGAATGTAGCTGTAGCAGAAGTCATCAAGAGTAGCACCTGTCCGTTTTAACAACGCCACCCAGCTACGTCTGCTATGTCGTCTGTTTTACAAAGTAATTGCGGCGCCACCCAGCTACATGTCGTCTGTTTTACAAAGTAATTGCGCACCTTTCACGACGTAGCAGAAATCTCTCTGGTGGATGCGCGTAGGAACGTACGTAAGTTCTTCGTTCCACACACACACACACTAATTATTATTATTATTATGTACGTCATCACGAGCCTGGTATCGCGCGATTTCTTCTTCTTCTTTTTTGCGAAGCGTCATGCTACGTTTCCCGGATATTGTAGTTTTTGTTATTGCATTTGTTTCGGTTTTCTTGTGGTTGTTGCTAGCACCCCCTTTTTTAATGAGTTAGTTTAATTAATTATGTTCATATTATATATTACCGTTATGTAAAGTTGGAATATGAGAGTTGTATTTGTGTTTGGCAATTTAAATGCTCCAAGGGTCCAAAGGGTATTCCAGTGTGTAAAAATATAAACATATGTTGCAGTCCTTAAGAGGTACAATACTCTGTGGAGGAAGTACAATCTGTAACGTATTATTAAGTTGAGGGACCTGTGGTGGATTGAGGTAGCCCTCCATCCTTCTGCCGTCCAACGCACAAAGATAACAGTTTTCATATGACATATAATAAAGCATGGTTGTTTTATGTACTTCTTAGAAACTATTGATAAAGCCAGATGAGGATAATAATTTAAAACAACAAACAGGCGTTGTTACTTGTTACTCGTAAAAATGTTTCTTATTCTTCAAATTGTAATGTAATGTAAGCACGTAAGATAATTGATGTCATCCACCAAATGCGTCACAAAATGATTATAGCAAATCGATTCTTATATTAAGAATATTGTATTTAAAGTTAAAGTAAGCTGTGGATGTTTAGTTATAGGTCACTTCAAGGTAAATTCTGTTACCATTGGAAATCCTACTATAATGTGCCAAAAAGTTTTTCTTTTCTTTACAAAGTGTTTCATGGACAAACCCCAGAAGGGGTCAAGAATATAATAAACTGCTGAATGCAAAAAATGGGGACATTTTATTATCTGTGAAGGTTCACAGCAGTCGATGTCAACAATTGGTAAGGAAGATTGTATAAGCCAGTGTTATATTTTAATGTGTTGGTTCTTTACGATTGATCTGTCCAGCTCAAAATAGCACCATAAAAAGGCAGCTGTACAAGAGCATTGTGTTCTGTATGAAAACCAACCTGTGCTGTACCTTAGCACCTACTGCTGATTTTACTTTTTTTTTTAACAGTTTATTTCAAATGTAACATTATTCACCATAAGTAACCTTTGCAGTTGTGTTGGACTGTCACTGTAAAACAATCAATTTTTAGCAATGTCATCTAAAGTGTAATTTCCATGTATAAGTTATAATTAATTCACCTCTAATCCTTTGATAACTACAACTCTTGAGAAATCATTATCTTGAGTAATTACCCATCTGAAACAGCTGCTTAAGATTTCAATGTAGGGTGTAAGCTTAGAAGTAGCTCAACTAATGCACCAAGTAAATATGGAAAAAGGCTGTCAAACATTTGGTTTGTCCTATGTGTGGATTCTTTCGTGTTTCTTAAGATCACTTTTTTGAATAAATCTTTTCCCACATACTGAGCAACTAAAGGGTTTTTCTCCTGTATGAATTTTTTCATGGGATTTCAGATTTCCCTTTTGGTTAAATTTCTTTCCACAGACAGAGCAACTAAATCGTTTTTCTCCAGAGTGAAGTCTCTCGTGAATCTTTAGGTTCCCCTTAGCAGTAAATCTCTTGTCACACAAAGAACAACTAAATGGTTTTTCTCCTGTGTGACTGTTTTCATGATAAATCAAATTAAGCTTATGGGTAAATCTTTTTCCACACCTTGTGCAACTATAAGGTTTTTCTCCTGTGTGTATTTTCTCATGCAACATTAAAACTGCCTTGTGAGTAAACCTTTTTCCACACTCAGAGCAGATAAATGGTTTCTCTCCTGTATGAATTCGCTCATGTTTCTTTAAGTCGCCTTTTTGGGTAAATCTTTTCCCACAATCAGAGCACTCAAAATGTTTCTCTCCTGTATGAATTTTTTCATGCAATGTTAGATTTGCTCTGTGGGTAAATCTTTTCCCACACACAGTGCAACAAAATGGTTTCTCTCCTGTGTGAGTTCTCTCATGTGACTTCAGAGTTATTTTTTGAGTGAATTTTTTCCCACAATGAGAACAACTGAATGGTTTCTCTCCTGTGTGAATTCTCTCATGTGATGTTAGGCTAATCTTTCTGGTAAATCTTTTACCACACACAGTACAACTGAATGGTTTTTCTCCTGTGTGAGTTTTTTCATGAGACTTAAGATTTGACTTTTGGATAAACCTTTTCAAACACACAGCACAACTAAATGGCTTTTCACCAGAATGAATTTTTACATGTTTGTCTAGTTCACTTCTTTGGCTAAAACTTTTACCACACTCAGGGCAACAACATAATTTCACCCCTAGATGAGTCTTTTCATGTAACAACAAAACTGACTTGTGAGCAAATCCTTCAGTATAATCAGAGAAGCCACAGTTGTCTCCGGTATTAACTATAATGTCAGCGGAAACAGTTTGATTTTTCATTGTTGATGGTCCATATGTGTCCTGCCAATCATGGTCACTGTCTTCAATCTCAGATGGGTTTTTGCTGTCTTCAGTCTCAGATGAGATTTCATAATCATCCTCAGTAATAGGCTCTAGTAGTCCATCTGGACCTGAATTCTTAGCTGCTTTTGGTCCACCAGCGCCCTCTCTGTCCTCCCCTGTGTGACTTAGATAATGCTGCGAAGACTCAGGTTCCTCTTCATATTCTTCAGTCTTCACAGTCACAGCAATGACGTCATCCTCCTCCTGTTTGATAGACACTTCCTCCTCCTCGTCCTCCTCTTTGATATAGGTGCAGTCCAGCTCCTCTTGGTCCCCATTGGGACTCCAGTCCACCTGTTCAGAGGAAACCTCTTGTTTGACCATCATCAGATGTTGTTTGTCTGCAGAAGTGAGTAAAAAGACAATTATGATGTTCATGTTATATACACGTTATGTAAATTTAGGCTATCAGCACTGTATTTATGGTTGGCAATTTAAATGCTCCAAATTTCAGTGTAAAAATATATATATTTATAAATATATATATTTATACCTGTCACCAACCCTATCAATATATGTTTGGTCACAGGTCTGCTGTTTTTAGGAGGTATAATACCCTATGAAATAAAGTATTGAACGCCATAATACTCTGAATTACAGTGTATGATACCAGTCTCTGCTGCTGAATGAATCCCAGTCCTTCTTCATTATATGTTCTGACAGCAAGTAACTACTGCAGGCGATCACTTGATCTATGCCGAAGATTATTGTTTTGTTTTTTATAGAGGTGGCATAATTGTTGAAAGCTGTTGGGATTCTCGTTTAACCTCAAAACAAAAACAGAAACATCAGTCAAACCTGGGACAAGTTGAAGCTTATGAACTGCACTGACCCATTGGTGTACTGTTGTCAGGAACTGATGAAGTTAAATATAAATGTCTTCCACTTAATACTGAGGAATCCTCCTACAAAAGACAAAACATGTACATTCTAAGTATGTTATTGTGTACATTATAGACAAATGAAAGCGTAATAGAACTGAATAAACTATAATCATTTCTGCTTTAGTGTTGTTGTTGTTTGTTTGTTTTTATTAAAAGTATTGCTTTGTTTATAAACGTGTTCTTGCCATGCCCTGACCAATATGGCCACGGAGTTGTCGCCATATTGTCACATATGTATGTTTATGAAATCATCTAGCAGTGGCTAAGGGCCGTAGCTTAACTAGCACATAGCGTTACAGCTAGCGGCAGTTGTATGTAGCGGCTCCACTGACTACGGACTGACCCGCTGCTTGCAGACTGACGTCGGGCTTCAGCTCGACATCGAGCAGCGACCTCCTGCAGCAGACTTGTTCTTATAATCGCTCCACTCTGACTTCTTATCCACGGGCTTCCCAACCATGGAGAGCACCTTAGGCCGCTCGGTAGTGACTTCAGTCGTAGTCGTACAACGTTATTACCTGCGGCAGGAACTCTTCAGCGACATCACTAATCGGATAATGTAGCGACACCTACCGCACCCTATTGCCGCAGAGTTAACGACTTTTGCGCTCATTAGTTACCTCCTGCAGTTTAGAACAAAGGCAGCTTGCGGCCAGTCTAAATTTAGCGTCAATAGTGCTCATGCTGAACATCCTAACATTTCAAAATAAGAGCAGTTTCTTGACGGAAATGTCCTTATTTTGTCTCATCTCTTAGCGCTTATTTTTAAGCACTCCAAATACACCTCACCGTATGTGTACTCTTAGGATCTCACTTACAAGAACGGCGTTCATCTTTATCATCAATTCCTGTCTTACCCATGAATTCAAAATTGTTAATAGATGTGCTTGACCTATATTGTTGCTCAATTTTTACAAAGGATGAAATTATTGTCCCAGAAAGAAGATAAAGATGTAGAAAGGCATTTAAAGTTGCTCATGTGTTTTCAGTCTACTTTGTTGAATGAATATTCTACCACATTCAATGCAACTGTATGGTTTCTCACCAGTATGAACTTTCTCATGTATGTTTAGATTGCTTTTTGTTGTAAATGTCTTACCACATTTAGAGCAACTGTAGGGTTTTTCCCCTGTATGAATTCTCTCATGTATCTTTAATGTGCTCTTTTCAGTATATGTTTGACCGCATTCATAACAACTAAAGGGTTTTTCCCTTGTATGTATTCTCTTATGTTTCCTCAAGTCACTTTTTTGGATAAATCCTTTGCCACATTCAGGGCAACTTAATGGCTTTTCTCCCGTATGAATTCTTTCATGTACTTTGAGCTTGCTCTTTTTAACAAATCCTTTCCCACAATTACTACAACTAAAAGCTTTCTGCACTAAATGGTTTTTTGGTAGATTTGGCTTAGAGATAAAACCATTCTCTCCAGTTGTGACTCTTTCATTCTTCAATGTCTTTAAAGATGTTGTTTGACCGGTTTCTTTCTCATAATCCTCACT